AGAAGACATGAAGCCATTATTTACAACAGCAAACAAAGGGTGTGAATATATATAACCGAAGTGTAAAATGTATTCTTGGAACTTTCCCTACAAAAATGCATGTGGAAGCGCAGAGAGATGGATGTTCAGGAAGTTCACTGTCGCTCTATTTGTGAACTTGAAAACAGTAAGCAACTTAAGTACCATTGGGGGGACTGTTTAAATGAACGAGGGCCATCCATATGCCACATGGTATGCAGCTGTGGGGAAACAATGCAGACTCTACTAGTACGTGTCCAGGCCTGGACAGCTGCCCATCACCACTAAGAGGAAAAAGAAGCTGCCAAATAGTATATGTAGAAATACTCCATTTTTATTTAACATTAAAAAAAAAGTGCTGGGAGGGGAGAGGGAGAAGATGGAGACAGGGAGAGAGGACCACATCCGGCTTGTCCACACAGGTGCCGGCGACAGCACTGTCGCCACCTGTGTTAGCACGCACAGAGCGCCAGCAGCTGTCTGCCCTCACGGGAATGAACCCTCCCTCTCACTCTGCCCCGGGGTCCAGCCAGAAGCACGCACGGAATGAAGCTGGAAAGGTCAAGCAGCAGGGTATCCCTGAGGCTCCCGGTGCGGGCGGCGCCACCAGGCCTTACCTGCAGCTTCAAGGACAGGGGTTTCTGGTTCAATAGCCGTTGATACTGAATCAGCCAGTAATTTTCCTGCTTGGTTTCACTTTTGGCTTCTAACTCCGTCTGCCAGAACGAAGTTGATGCTGTTAGTTACAAATCGGTGAGTAAAAACAATGACAATGATGGTGACTGAACTGTGCTCCTCTGAGCGTATGGACGGCACGTGGTCTCTTACAGCGTCCCTGTCCACTATCATCACAGCACGTCAGCTACAGGCAGGAAGGGCAGGGAGCAGCACTGCCCCCGGCTGACCGCTGAGAAGGGTCTCACACATGCACCTGGTGGGGGGCCTGACCCTGGCTGCTGCACCTGGCACCTCGCTTGTGCGCCGCTAGCCTGGGAGGGACACTGTCTCATCTGCTTGTGGGAATGGCCAACCGCCAGGCAGCCACCTCCTCCTCCCAGAGCTCGGGCTGGCCTCCGGGTGCCAGGTCGGGAAGGACACAGGAGTCCAAGGACACCTTCGCTGTCTGACAAAGCTGGAGACTCGTAAACATGCTACTGGGACGGATTCCTTCCTTCCGGCATCCAACAAATATTCCCGGAGAGCCGTCTGGGCCAAGCACTGTTCTAGGGGCCGGGGACAGAGCAGCGGACAAATGGCACTGACAGCGGCTACGTGCGACTGTGCTGTGCACGAGACGCCCTTTTACTAATTCTCACAACTGCAATGGGCTCCACTGCGCAAGTGAGGAAGCTGAGCATCAGAGTGATTAGCAGCCCAAGATGGAGGCGCTGCCCAGTGTCAGGGCCAAAATCCAGAACCGGGTCTGTCCTGCTCTGGGGCCTGGGACTGAGCAGCGGAGCCGGCCCATCCAGGACACGGGGGTCTGATGTGACACAGGAGCAGGGTTTCCACACAGGGACCTGAGTGCCCTTTGGTGGTCACTCCTGGGCCTTGCCTAGCTGGCTCCCCTCTCCTGGCCTGGGCTGTGGACGTACCTCTCTTCTGGAACCCATGGCCCTGAACCTCATGTTCTGCTGAGGTGCTGCTCCCTTCCCTAGTGAGTCCCTCACCGCCCTTCGAGGGCAGGAACCCAGGGCCAAGTGTATGGCTGCTCCTGCACGATGCCCACACTACAATCTGTACACGATGCAGCGAGGCAGCGGGAGGGAAGGCACCTTCTGATGGGCACAAGCATGGCACTGGGGCTTGCGCAGGGCTCAGAAGTTTCGGAGCTGGTCTCAGTCTCCTCCGTACCCTGCACAGGGCCTGCTCTTGGCGCCCAGAGGGTGCCTGGAGCAGTACTGACACCAGGGGAGTGCCTCGGTCCTCCAGCCCCAGCCAGTGGGCTGGCCTCCGTCCTCACCACTCACATGCACTTGGAATCTGGAGGACGCGACCTGGCTGCTACCTAAATGCAGCTCTGCCACCCTAATGACGTGCCAGAGTGACACCCATGTGGGCACAGGGGACAGCTGGGTACTTCCTGTCAAAGGCTTATTAAGGCCTGCCCTGGACACAGCAAGTCCTCTCCTGGGCTCAGCTGTTCTCAAACACTTAGCTGCAGAGACGGTCAGAGAGCACTGCTCATGAAAGTAAAGAACGGGAAGCAATCTAAATGCTCAACAGGCCAAACGATGGCCTATCCAAACGCAGACATGAAAAGAATGTGGAGGAGTATTTCAGTGACACGGGAAGAACAGGTGAAAGCGAGCTGGTCACCCAGGGCTCTGCACTGTTTTACATTTAAGCACGTGCACACATAGCTATAAAGAAGCACCACAACATTTGAAAAATGTACATCAAACCGTTAGCAACAGACAACTCTCAGAAGTGAGACTCTTCCTTTGTAAACGTCCATGTTTTCCACGATGAACAAGTATGATGTGAATAACAGAAGTGTTGCTAAGAATAGCAAGTGTATGGAGGGCAAGCAAACCCGTGTTCGGTGCTACGCGGAAGCCCAACGCACCAGGATCGCCCGGAGCTCCTCCTCTCGCTGTGTCTTCTCTTTGAGCAGCTGCTGGAGCAGGGAGCTGAGGGCCCAGCGCTGCTCTGAGATCATCTCCTGCAACACAAGACCACACCCAGTGCCGCCGGAAGCTCCCAGCAGCCCTGATGCCAGAAGGCCCAGGGCACAGTGGCGGGATCCCCCGCAGAGTTCTCGGCTGTCAGCGGGGGCTCATGGAGGGCTACTCAGTTCAAGTCTGCCCACGATCTCAGGCTGAGAATTAGGGGGCAGAGCCGAGGGGCCCCTCTGCCGGGCATCCCCTCCCCACCTGCTCCTAAGCCTGCACCTCCCTGCCCCGTGGGGCTAAGGCCAGGCATGGAATCTAGTGACTGATGTCGGTGGAGTGTTAAGAAACAGCAAACAAAGGAAATGACAAGCCATGGGTATCTGACCTCCTCTCACTGACCCCACAGCACGTGGGGGAGACGCGTGGTGGGGAGGGCTGTTGAGGTGCAGAGAAGGGAAAGGCCGCCCCTCCCCCTCCCGCCCAGGTCACACAGCAGGACTGCGCTGGACAGAACCCAGGTCCAGCCTTGCAGTCCAGACGCCGCCGGCCAGTCCCTGCGGCCCCTTCTCTGTGAGCAGGACAGCAGGCCGAGTCACAGAGAAGCTGCCTGCAGGGAGCGACGCAGCGACGGCTGGGCCCTCTCCTCCGGACATCCCTGCGACACCAAGAAAGCTCCTTCCCCAGAGGATGTCAGCCCGAGTCGAACCAGCGCCCCAGAAGCATGGCTTAAAGAGACAGGGAGCTCAGCAGCAACCCCGCTCCAAAACAAAGAAAACGTGGAGATGGAGATGTCACCTGGTGAGCCTTGGCAATGAAACCCTCCTTCCTCTGACCCTCCTGCCTGGCCACAGCTGACCCGAGCCCTAGGCTTGGCCTGCGCTCCCATCAGCCTTCTGGGATTGGGGCACCCTCCAAGGTCACAGCCACGGAGGAGACCTGCCCGGCTTGCTGGAGAGGCGGTGGGGCACCAGGCGGGGATTTCAGGGGGCACAGGGGAGGGACCGGGCAGGCCAGGGAGCCCTACATACCTGTAGTGCCTCTGTGTCCAGGGATTTCCTCTTTAACTCCAGCTGTGTCAGCTGCAATAACTCAGTTTCTATTAACTTAATCTAAACAGAAGATGAAACAGGGGTTTTTTTTTATTCACATTAACCATAGTTCAAGTCTGTGCCACTGTTCTCTGATGGCCAAGTGGGGTCTGAGAATCTGTTCTGGGGATCTATGGGATGAAGGGGCCCTGAGTGCTTTGGGCAGGGGTGTGGACATGCCTGCCTGGTCAATACTGTTGACCAATTTTCTTGCTTCCTCTGCAGAGCTGTCCTAGACAGGAGCAGAGGGTCATGGAAGTGACTGAATAATAACAAGAGTAGTAGCTGATATTTATTGAGGATTCTGCATGCTAGGCCTGTGCTGGGCACTTTATATGTATCGGTTTGTCAATTCTCCTCTGGCTCTTAGGAGGTATTATTGCCTCCATTTTACAGACAAGGAAACTGAGGCTCAGAGAGGTTAAGTAACTTGCCTAATGACACAGAGCAGGTACGTGAGTGAGCCCTTTCCCTGGATGTGCCTTCTCAGGGTCTAAAGGGGAACAGCTGGCCTGGCGGGTCAAAACCACCCGCAGTGAGAATATCTAGGGGTCACTGCACACCCCAGGGTGTGACTGGGGACTTTCAGCCCTGGGGGTCAGACCCTACAGCCTGTGCCTATGACCCTATGGCCCTTGTCCCTAAGTTCCTAGGTCCCCACCAACCCCTGGTCAGAGGAATGAGCTTCATGTCCGGCTATGTGGGATTGAAATTAAAGAGGGAAATAAAAAGGTAAGCTGGTTTTGGCCAAAAAAGAAAAGAATAAAAAGAAAAAAAACACATGCAAAATGTGAAATTCAAAGTGTTGAGTACGATGCGATGAGCATTCCCACAGCCTGAAAGCTCACTTCATCTCCAGCCCAGAGAGCGCACCTCACCCTCAGGAAGCCCAGAGAGTCAGACGGCCCAGAGGCCACAGCGGTGGGGCCCGCCCAGAGCCAGCCCGAGGTCAGCCTTGGCTCTCTCCTCCAGGCCCAGCTGACGTCAGGCCCTCCCTGCTCCCTCAGGTGGGAGATCCCGTCTGTCCCAGTTCAGAGCTGATGGGACACTGGGGCTTGAGCCGGCTGCCTGCGGAGTGCTCAGCACAGAGGCTGCCCCCGCGGTCAAGGCCGCAGCTGCCCTTCCCCTCAGCCCTGGGCACCCACAGTGCTGCCTCAGGCACCTGCCAAAAGCCCCTGACCGAGGTTCTGGGAGGAAAGGGAGCTTCTGCAGGGAGGCCTCCTGCTGAGCTCCTGTGAAGGAGCCAGGATTCAACCTTAACTGCGGCCTGTCCAGCCACCTCTGCGTGTCTCTGAAGGCTGACGAGACAGGTCTAGAAGGGGGTCCACGACCCCCACTCACCTGGTTCCTGATCTGCCGATGCATCAGGTCTTTCTTCACCTGGAGAGCCTCAAATGCAGCCTTCTGCATGGCGCTCTGCAAAGAGACAGGCTGCTGAGCAGGACCTGCCTGGCTTCCCAGTGGGCGGCAGACCTCAGTCGAGCGGACGGTGCAGCGGGCTCGGAGGTGAGCCCAGGTCCTGCAGCGCTCTGTGGGCTTCTCCTCCGTGGTGCGATTGCACCACTCCCTGCCCTTTCAATCCTCATGATGGAGCCCCCACAGCACAGGGAGTGGGTGCCAGCCAGGGTAAGGGGGTGCTTGTCTGGATTTCAGTGACCAGATCACCACGCGAGGCCTCTCCCTGCCCCTCTCTTCCTGAGGGTTTGTATTAAATGCACTAAGCATGTGGGGTCTCACACGCTCTCTGGGACAGGGCTCCCAGCGTGCCCTTCGTGCACCCCCGCCCTCACGTCCTGGGCAAGGGCTTACCTCCTGCAGGATCTGGCTGATGGCTTTGTTCTGATCCATCTGCTGCCACGACAGAATCTGCTGGAACCGCTCATCCATTTCAGCCATGCTGCCACAAAGACAGCACATTCATTTACTCTCTCAACATTTTCTGAGCACCTACTATGTGCCAGGCACCTTGGAGGAGATCAAGATAAACCATTTATTCATTCAACAATGCTTAGGGAGCGCCTGCTGGGGGTCATGTTCCAGGCGGGGCAGACACAGAGTTTGTCTGAATCCCATGGCCTGGTAGGAGGTGACAGAGTCTGTGTCTGGGAGCTGGGAGACACCCACCCCTATACCGGAACACCGCCTCCCAGGTGAGCCGCTCAGGCCCTGAGAAAGCTGTCCTTCCTCCGCACTAGCATCTGCACTCCCCACCCCGGCGTTCTCGCCCTGGCAGTGGGTCTGCTCTCAGCCCCTAGAACAAGTCTAGCGATTTTGGCACAAAAATACAAACTTGCAACCTCATGTATGTCCATACTTGGGTGCATCTTGGCTTTGAGTTTGTTTGTTCATAACAATAGCTGTTATTTATTGAACCCTATATGGCATACCTTATGTTCATTAAAGGTTCCAGCGACTGTAGGGGAAGGTACTGATTTATCCCCATTTTTCTGGTATGAAAACTGGGACTCAGAAAGGAAAAGCAACTTGCCCAAGACATCACAGTTACTAGTAGAAGCACAATGCCATGCACCAGGAAAGAGGGAGAGTCCGCACCTGAGGATGCAGGGGAGGCTGGCAGCTGCGGCCCTGGGTGGGAGGAGACACACAGGGCAGCAGGGCTACTGCCTGTCCCCGTCTGGGGCTCCTGAGCATCGACTGGGCCTTTCTCACCCGGCTCTGCCAGACAACCCAACAGACACACCCACAGAGCCATGGGGGACTTGGAGGGTCAGACCAGAGTGGCTTCAGCATCGAAGGCAACCCATCTCCGTCCCCCCAGTGCACCCTGCCCCCGACCTGTGTGGATCCTTGGTGATGATGAGTGCACCCCCGTCAGGAGCACCCCGCCCCCCCACTCTGTCTGGGTTTGAATCCTGGCTCTGTCAGCTGCTAGTTGTGTTTCCTTGGGTGTGTCACATGGCTTCCCTGAGCCTGAGCTGATTGTAAAGTGGGGCTAGTCACAGTAGAGTCCCTTGGAGATCCAATAAGCTAGTGCATGTCACGTGGCCGAGAGCCCGGCACACAGGAGGGCGTGAGAAGTGGTGGTGATTACAGGCACCTCAGAGATCGTGTAGGTTTGGTTGCAGACCACCACAATAAAGGAAATACTGCAATGAAATGAGTCACAAGAACTTGGGGTTTCCCAGTGCATATGTATGAGTTACGTTTACATAACTGTAATCTATTAAGTGTGCAATAGCATTATGTCTCAAAAAACAATGCATATACTTGAATTAAAAAATTCTTTATTGCTAAACAGTGCTAACCATCTGAGCCTTTAGGAAAAATGGTGCCAACAGACTTGCTGGAGGCATGGTTGCCACAAGCCTTTAATTTGTAAAAAACACAGTATCTGTGAAGTGCAATGACATGAGGTATTGTCACTTTCTCACAGCCCAACACAGAACCATGAGGTCCAGCTAGAAAAGTCATGGAGACCAGTCACCACCTGCCTGAGAGCATGGCCGAGGCTGGGGTGGCCAGGCAGGGGACTCCCTGGGCCCAAAGCCGGCTCCCCCAACTCCCTTGCTCTGGACGCCTCTCCTTACATTACCTGGAACAGGCCTGCTGGACCAGGTTCTGCCTCTGAGACTCGTAGGTCATCTGGAGGAAGCGGTTCTTACAGCTCTCGGTCAGCATCTGCTGCATGGCGGCTGAGAGACAGGGGACAGGCTGAGGAAGGGGCGGGCTCGGGGGTTCACCTAGTCACCCACCTGATGGTCACCCTTCAGAGAAATCTTATTTTAAACCATAAAACTAACTTAAGTTTGTAAAACACTGAACAACACACACAGAATCTCCTATCATCTGTCACCCAGAGATATTATCACTTTTGATACGTATTCTTCCAGTGAAATGTAAATACATATTTGTGGATTTTTAAAAATGAAAATTAAAACACTGAAAGCAGAGACTTGAATAGATATGTGTGCGGCCACATTCATAGCAGCATTATTCACAATAGCCAACAGGTAGAAACAACCCCAAAGCCCACTGGCGGATGAACAGATTAACAAAATGTGGTGAATCCAAACAATGGAATATTATCCAGCCTTAAAAAGGAAGGAAACTCAGAGGGAAGCTGTGACATGAATGAACCTTGAGGACATGCTAAGTGAAAGAAGCCAGTCAACAGAAAGAAAAATACCATGATCCCACGTATATGAGGCACCTAGAGCAGTGGTCGGCAAACTGCGGCTCGCAAGCCACATGCAGCTCTTTGGCCCCTTGAGTGTGGCTCTTCCACAAAATACCACGTGTGGGCGCACACGTACAGTGCGATTGAAACTTCATGGCCCATGCGCAGAAGTCGGTATTTTGTGGAAGAGCCACACTCAAGGGGCCAAAGAGCCACATGTGGCTTGTGAGCAGCAGTTTGCCGACCACTGACCTAGAGTAATCAGACTCAGAGAGAAAAAAGCAGGATGGTGAGTGCCGGGGGCTAGGAGAGGGGAAATGATGAGTTGTTACTGAATGGGCACAGTGCTTCAGTTTTGCAAGATGAAGTTTCTGGAGATGGAGATGGTAATGGCAGCACACGAATGTACTTAATACTACAGAACTATACAATTAAACGTGGTTAAAATGGTAAATTTTACGTTGTATATATTTTACCACAATAAAAAATTAAAATGCCATCACACTAAATATACCACTTCTTCCTTCTCATGAATACTTCCCCTCCCAAGGGGTCAGCACTCAGTACCCTGCCCAGGTGACCAATAGACAGGGCTGTCTACCCCTGTCCCCCCAGACAGCCAGGCTCTGTTCCCAGGACCCCTCCCACTCCCCACCCTGAGACTCACAGGCAATCTCACGTCTTCGCAGGTTCTCTGTCTCCTCCTGGGTTATGGACATCAGCTGTTCCATTCTTATTCTAGAAAAACAATCCATCCATTTATCAGCAGACATCACATTTCCAAGAGGAAATCCCATCAGAAGAACAGCACCTCTTTCAGGAAGTCCTCCTTGATGCGCCAACTGCATCACGCCCCTCTCCCCTGGGACCCTGTTTACCTTCAGCTTCGTAGTTAGCATTTGTTATACAGAAAGGTGAACATTCCCAGGTGAACAATCCCTTAGAAAAATAGGCAAAGGACACAAACAGCCTTTCACTGATGCTTGAATACAAGTGACCAATACACACATGGGAAGATGCTTCACATCACTGGGAACTACAGAAAGTAAAATCTTTTCAACTAGCAGACTGGTTGGGATTAGGAAAACTGATAACCATAGGTGATGGCAATGAAGGTGGCGAAATGGGCACTTTCATAGACGGGCGAGAAGAGTATAAACTGGCAAAATGTTTTCTGGAAGGCAATTTGGCAATACCGATCCAATGTCCTTTGAATATTTCCTTCAAAAATATTCACATAAATGCATATAGGTATACTTAGGAGATATTCACTGTAACAGTATTTGTAATTATGAAAAATTGGAAACAAATTCTCATGAACAGAGGGCTAATTAAATAAATTATGTTATAACCATATAGTGGAATACCCTATAGTTACTACAATAAGGTTGTTGGCATGGAAATACATCCATGAGACAATAGATGAAAATTAAAGTGTCGAATGCAAGCTGTAATAAAAAAATAAAATAAAAAGTAAATGAAAATATGAGGTAATTACATGCATGTACGTGCATGCTGCAAGTGTGTGCATCCCCCCCGCCCCCCCCCCCCACACACACACACTAAACAGGTCAGAGTGGCCTAGAGGGATAATCCGTATGTTTCTGCAAGTCCTACTTCACTGAAGAAGCGTGTATCCTCTGAGCCCTCTGCCCTGCCCAGGACTGCGGGCTGCTCAGGGAAGCTGCACTGTGCACTGCTGAACCCCGGGCCCCGTGGTGAGAGTGTGTGCCAAGTAAATGATGCCACCCCCACAGCTCAGCTTGGCCTTGACCACCCCTGGCTCCCGCAAGTGCCACAGCTTCAGTGGGTGGGGTGACGGGGCTGCCGTGCCACCTGGTGGGAGCTCCCTACGGGAGGTCTTCCCCAGGGTGGGCGCAAGGACAGCAGCAAAGTCCACGCTCCTATTTGGGATCTCAGAGGACCAGGAGGGATCCCATTACTACCTGGAGAAGGGGAGGAGGTGGCCCCTCCCAGCTGTCACCTTTCCTCATTACTATAGGGGTGTACCTCAATGCAGTAAGTTTGGAACATACTGGAAACACAAAGAAAAAGAAAACATCACCGCCTCTAATTCCCACCTCCTAAAAATGTTCAGTGTAAACCACTGGGGGTGGGTTTTTCGCTTTCTGAGCACAGAAACACACAGAGTGCCTTCAAGAAATGATAGAAAAAAAGGATAAAAAATATGAACAATAAAATGGCAATAAATACAGATCAACAATTGAATCTAAAAAACAAAATAAACAAGCAGAACAGAAATGGACTCTAGATACAACGAGCATTTTGACGACTGCCAGATAGGTGCGAGGTTGGAAGGATGGGTGGAAAGGGGAAGGGGTAAGAAGTGCAAATTGGTTGTTACAGAACAGTCATGGGGATGAAAATATAGCACAGGCGATACAGTCAATAACATTGTAATAACTGCGATGGTGTCAGATGGGTGTGAGATTTATCCAGATGATCACTTAGTAAGTTACATAGTGTCTAATCATTGGGGTGTACACCTGAAACTAATATAAAAATGTATGTCAGCCACGCCGGGGTGGCTCAATAGTTGAGTGTTGATCTATGAACTAGGAAGTCATGGTTCGATTCCTGGTCAGGGCACATACCTGGGTTGCAGGCTTGATCCCCAGTAGGGGGTGTGCAGGAGGCAGCCAATCAATGATTCTCTCTCATCATTGATGTTTCTATCTCTCTCTCTCTCTCCCTTCCTCTCTGAAATTAATAAAAATCTATTTCAAAAAATGTGTCAACTGTAATTGAAAAATTAAAAATTATTTTAAAAATTATAGACTGTAGACCCTACTTTTCCACTTAGCAATATACTGTATTTCTTTTAATAAGGAATATTCTTCTACATGATATTTCTGAATAGCTACAGATTCGTCTTTTGTACATAATTCATGTAACCAAATTCTTTTTTCCCCTCAGAAATGTAGATTTTGGTAATTTTTTAATACTAGGAATATAGTTGGACATAATATATACATTCTTACTCACATCTAAATTTTTGTCAGGAATGTGTTTTAACAAACTTGCAGATAGTGATTCTTTTTCATGATGTTCCCTAATGAGCTGAATCTCCTTATAGCTTTAGGAAAACTTCCTGGCATAATCCTTGAGAATCATAAGACATTCTCACTCCAAAGCTAAAGCCACCCCCCCCTTCCCCGCCCCCCACCCCAGAAGGAAGGCCCTGCCGAGAAAGGTCAGAGCGGAACACGTACCTTTCATTTTCCAGTGACTTCAAAATCTCGGAACTTTTCTTCTGCCTGTAGAGAAACCCACGAAAGGTCCCTGAAGCCGTCGCCAGCGGGCCTGTTTCCACATAACCACCCCCTCACCTCACCGGGGGTGCTGAGGGGGCTTAGAGACTGGGGGCAGGGGGGCTCTCAGCCCCACCACCGAGGGAGGGCTGAGGTCTCGGGCCAGATAACCACTCCAAGCCCCAGCTCCCCATCTGTGTCACGGGAACAATATTAAAAAACAAAACAAAACACTTCGTGGAGTATTTGGAAAGAGTGAGTGAGAACATGTGCATAAAGTGTGTCACTTAAGAAGCACTGGGCGGATGGTGGCTTTCCCGGACACCCCGGTGGGGAGAGCACGTGGAGCAGCCCAGGGCGGCTGACCCAGGACGGCAGAGGAGCCCGTGAAAAGCAAAAGGAAGCCTGGAAGCGACAGGAGATGTGGCGAAACCTGTTTCTGGACTCTTTCCACAGGGACCCTCACCAGACCTGCTCAGGCTCCCTGAGGTCTCTGTCCGCCCCGCTTCCTCCAAGTCCAGTCAAGACCTGCGCTCAGCGGCTCCTACTTGGGCCGGATGGGTTACAGCAGCTCCCCCAAGGGGGTGAATGTTGACCTCAGCACTAGAGGTTACTTGGAGCCCAAAATATTGGAGATGTGATCTCCACTATCTTGTTAAAGCCTCATTTACGGATGGGAAACTGGGGGACGCAGGTCAGACCAGCCTCTAAGTTGGTGCAAAATGCAGCACCAAGACCGGATGCCAATGATGGAAGCCTGGGGAGGGGTAGAGCCTGGAAGGAGAAGTGGACCCCATCTTTGTCTCCTCCAAGGGCATCATGTGGGAGGTCTGGGGGTCTGGGAGGATGGGAGCCCGACCTCTGATTGTTCTGCAGAAGCTTCTGGATCCGGTTGGAGATGTTCTGCTCCGTCTGCTTCAGCTGCTCCTGCAGCCGCTGACGCTCTGCATCGAGGTAGCGCCGGTGCTCGCTGAGGCCCTGGTCCAGCCGGGACTGCTCCTGCGGCCGGGCAGGCAGAGGTCCTGAGCCGCCGGGACCCCTTCAGATGCCTTAGTGCAGTGAGGGGCCCCAGAGCGGGGTTAGGGGAATGGCCACATCCTGCCAGCCCTTTCGTGCGACCTTGGACCAGGGTCCTCCCCTCGCTAGGCCTTGCACACAAGGAGGCTGGACCAGGCGGTGTAAAGCCCCCCAGGCCCTGGAGTATGGAAGGGGGCGAAGACAGAACCCATCCCACTTGCCGTTCACGAACCTCCCTGACGGACTGGAGGATCTCGTCCTTCTGACTGTGGCTCTGCTGAAGGAGCTGGGCGTGCTCGCGCTGCCCGAGTTCCAGGCGCCGCTCAAACTCCAGTTTCTCCAGCATCTTCTGTTCCTGCAAGAATGAGATGCTGGTGACTGTTGGCCCAGGCTCTGTGGGCATTAGGACATGGGAGCGGGGTGAACCCACCCCGAAACTCCGAATAACCCCTGAGGACCCCCCTTGACTAGAACAGGCTGTTCGCTGGCAGGGGCCAGTGGTTTGGAGCTTGAGCTCCAACTCTCTGAGCCTCAGTCTTCTCATCTGTCAAGTGGGGATACTCTACCACCTACCAAGGCTCTGAGGAAAGCAATGCTTTACCCTCTAATTTAGAGGCAGGTAGGACTTGTTTCTTCAAGTCTTTTATAATTATTGAGATCTTTAATGAGAAGGAAAGTGACTTTCTTACCCTCCTCTTCTCATAGTCTGAGAACCTATTCTGGGGGGAAAAAATACAGTGGTCAGAGCAGGTGGGCAGCCTGGCCCCATTCAGATTCCCAGGCCCACCCCAGAGTACGCATCAGAAGGGTGGGGTGGGTGGGGATGAGGGGTGGGTGGTGCTAGTGGACACCAGGGTTGAGAACCAGGGGCGTAGCACATCGTAGGAATGTCTTCAAGAAGTTGTGGGGATGCAGCTCTGAGAAGGCCTGGTGCTCAGAAAAGAAGACCAAGAGTGGGAACCTGAGCCCAGATGTCTGCACACACAGCGGCAGCACCCCGCTCTCGCCCACCGCACTCCCCCCGGCACACAAGGTGCCGCGTGCACTCCTGCAGGGGTGTCCAAAGAGTGAAAGGCCTGGAGACAACTCAAATGTCCATCAGCAGAGGGTTCCTTCAGTGAATTTCGGTGCAGCAATCTCGGCTGCGATATTCGCTGTATTTCGGAGGTCTGGAACCGAACCCAGTCTCTCCAAGGGGTGCCTGTATTTGTATGTGTGCCTGTGACAGGGACCTGGGAGAGCCGCCTGCTGCTGGTGCTGACACGTGTGCCCGTCTGACTCCTTCACACAACTGAGAGCATGCAGGTGTCCTGTACGGTGAGTGGCACTGAGGCAAGAAGGATTTGCTGAGCGAGACAATCAGCACGACAGACATGGTCGCCACTCTCACGAAGCTCCACCAGCAGGGCAGACAGACATGAAACAAATTCTCTCCCATGCAGTCCCTCATTTAGCTTAGAGCTGCGGGAAGTGCTCCCAAGGAACGGATGGGTGGGCCCTCTGAGAACACGGACAGGAGGCTGACCTGGGCTGGTGTGTGGGGAGGCTTCTCCCAGGCGGTGATGTGTAAACAGAGAACTGAAGGATCAGACTGAGGGAGCAGGGGAAGGTGAGTGGGGAGAGTTCCAGACAGAGGGACCGGCAGGGGGTGCACGGTGCGGCTGAGCTGGTGAGCTGGTGAGGACAGGGGCCGTGCTTGGCCTCGTGAAAGCAATCTAACCAAGCACGCCGGTCTGATGGAGGCAAATTTTAGTTTGATGGAGGAGTCTATGGGCCGCAGCTCTGAGCATCCCCCCAATACCCAGGGCCCTCTCTCCAGGTGCCAGCGGGCAGGCGTACCTTACCTGCCACTCTACCTCCTCCCTGGAGAATCTGTCCGCGGGCCCGTCAGGGCTGTCCTGGGAGTTCTGGGCTCCATCTTGCTCCAGGACTGGCAGCAGGTACTGAGAAGGGGGGTAGTAGTCCAGCCCTGACTCTGCAAGAGATGACACAGCTGACCCGGAGGGAGGAGGCAGCCCAGGTACCTTGAGCGGCCAGTGCCCGCCGCCCTTGCCTCCCTCCTTCCTCCTCGGCATCCCGTCCCATCCCCACCTCAGGCCACTGCTCCCCTGCCCTTGACTGGGCCCTCATGGTGCCCACCAGTCCTCACGCCTGGCCCAGAATGTGGCCAGTGCTCAGTAACCTTCAGCTGGTGCATAAACAGGGCCACCCCCTGCCTCTTTACATCAAGTAGAAATAAGATGAAGAGGAAGCCTGAGATTAAGAATTGAAGGCTGAGTTCAAGACCCAGCTGTGCCCATGATTTCCTGTGTATGAGCCCTTGGGCAAGACGCTTGCCTACTTTGGCCCTGCAGTTTTCTACTGCATAATTTATCTGTTTTTATTTGGTTGTTTGCTCCATTTTTGCTTATTTGTAGGTGTTTATTAGCTATATACTATAGCTAATAACCTTGGGTCTATATGCTGCCACTATTTTCTTCTGGGTGGCAACTTTTCTTTTTAGCTTTGATGATGGTACCCTATCCTTTTGAGATAAAGACGTTTTAGATTTTAGTGTAGTCAAAGTTACCCTCCCCCCAAGGATATAAATAGGCAGTTCACAAGAAACACTAAAACTGGGTGGTGCAGATACTCCTCACAGGAATGTAACCTCGGGTAACCTGTGCAGAGGGCAATGTGGAGTTCCGGTCCCCACCCTGTGCCAACCCCACTGGTGCCTGCCCTAGAGGAGCCTCATCCAGTGCCAGAGAGGTGTGGGTTAGTGTTTCTGGGAGCAGAATCCTGGAAATAACTTCCGAGTTCACAACAAGGGCTCCACCATGTGAAATGCTCTACAGCAATTTAAAATGAGGCAGAGCCTGGCCGGAGTGGCTCAGTGGTTGAGTGTCGACCAAGAACCAGGAGGTCATGGTTCCATTTCCGGTCAGGGCGTATGCCCGGGTAGTGGGCTCAATCCCAGCCTTCCCTCCCCCTTTCAACACGCACCTCTGTCTGCCAGGAACACCCTTCTCTCTGGTCTAAGTCCTAATCATCCCTCAGGTTTCACCGAGGCCCCTAAACCTGACACCCGCCCATGGTACTCTCATGACCACAATATGTGATTATACTTTCTTGTGTGATGTTTGGCCCGTCTCTCCTGCCAGACGGTGGCCTCCTTGGTCTCTGCCGCCCCCCTAACCTGTGCTGGCCCAGGGCAGCTGCCGGGGCCACGGGTGCTCACCGAGTGGAGGAGGAGGCTGCCGGCCTTACCTTTGCAGAGGAACTGCTGGATGGCCTCGGTGCCTGCGCCACACACCTCCGGCGGCGGGAAGACCATGGACGAGGCGTCCAGGCTTAGAGTCTGCAGACACAAGGGAACCCTCTTTATATGTCGTTCACGTCACTGCTCCACACAATGGAAAGCCACTGGGTGCAGTTATGAATACGTGCTCACTCTCTGCTCTGCCTGGCAGGGAAAGCTTGCCTGCCTCGCTCCATCTGTGGTCCCAGCTCCTAGAACAGTGACTGGCATGCAGTAAGCACTCAATTCATGTTTTTGGATAAATACATGAATGAGCAAAAAAAAGGAAAGTTATAGGACAGCATAGAGAATAGATTCCATTTTTGTAAAAAAATAAATAAATACTCCTATAGTCTCAGATTAGTATATTTATAATAGAAAGGGCACATGCTCAGGTGGCAGGCTTGATCCCCACTAGGGGGCGTGCAGGAGGCAGCCAATCAATGATTCTCTCTCATCATTGATGTTTCTATCTCTCCCTCTCCCTGCCTCTCAGAAATCAACTAAAAATATATATTTTAGAAAAAAAATTTTTTTAAATTGTGCCCCAACTGGGGATCAAACCTACAACCTTGGCATATTAAGACAATGCTCTAACCAACTGAACTACTCAGCCAGGGCTAACTGATTAAAATTAAAGAGAATTTCAAGCTCAGTTCCTCAAGCCACATTTTCAGTGCTCTACAGCCACAGGTGGCCAGCAGCTACTGTGTTGGACAGCACAGACTATGGGACATTTCCATTATCGGCAGGAGGAGCAGCGATTGCACAGCACGGAGTCACACAGCCTGGTTTTAGACTCCAGCTCGCCGGGGGCCAGCTGTGCGTCCTGGAACAGGCCACTTGACCTCCCTGGAGCCGCAGGTCCCTCAGACTTAATAGGCACAATATCACCCCCCTGGCAGGCTGCCAGATGGGTAATAGGAGGTAACACGTGAAAAAGACTTTGGCCTCAACTCAGAATGGTTGCTGTTGTTGTCTCATCCTGAAAACAGGTTTGTCCAAGGTGCCACCAAGAAGCCCAAAAGATTTTTGTGTAAAGAATCGCTATAAAACAAGTCATAGAGCTCTTACTGGCTTAGAATGGCTTTAGAATTAGGAACACTGCTCTGAGCTGTGCTGATAAGGTAGCAACTGAGCACAGGTAGCCATTTAAATATACTGTAGATGAATCAAATTCAATAAAACGAAGCATGTGGTTCCTTGGTCATACTGGCCACACGTGGCTAGTGGCTACCAGTTTGGACTGAACGTTTCCATCATCGCTGGAAGCACAGGGAATACATGCCCACGTGCTGGCCATTTCTCCAGCGTGTGCAGGGCGAGCGGCCTGCCTTCCTGTCCTTCCTTAGGCTGTCCACCATGGCAGCGGGGACCAGACCCTGGGGTCAGGCACCTCCCTTTGCTGTCTCCTTGCTCCTGACCCAGATGCCACTGGTCAGCAGTCTGGCTTGCGAGTCAGTTCACTGACGGACGGTCAGAGGGGTCTGGGGTGCCTGTCAGGTTGTGAATGGAGAAGTGCCGGCACCAGGGGCGGAGACCAGGCTATTTATCACTAGTTGTGTGGCCCTTGGGCAAGCTCCTTAAATGGCCCAGGCCTCAGTCTCTTCATCTGCAAAGGGACACAACAGGGTTCCTGTGAGGATTCAGAGAGCGAATCCAGGCCAAGTGCTGAGCCTTAGTAAGTACCTGGGATGCTCCTGCCCTTGTCTACATCCTTAGAGCCTCTTTCTCTTTCACGGTCTGGCTCGAATACCACCTCTTTCATAGTGTTAACCCCACTAGGATTTGATGTTATCTCCTAACTGCAGAAATATGTTCCTATGCCACCATCATGACAGCAAAGCCACGTAATTACAACTGCTCACACACTGGTCACTGCGAGCTCCCAAGGACCACGCGTTGAGATCTCCGTGACCCCAGCACCCTGTGACCAGGCCAGGTACTCAACACCGTGGGAGGCAGGAGGGAGGCAGGCCAGCGAGGAATGGCTGGGAGGAGTGGCTCCACTGACCTCCAGGGTCCGCACGTGCGCCAGCATCTGCGGCAGCCTCTGCATCTCATTGTCACGGATGTCAAGAGTGCGTAGGCTTCGAAGTTCCCCCAAGGTGTCTGGAAGCTCCTTCAGCTTGTTGTCTGGAGAGACCCCAATGGCACAGCTCAACACCCCAAAACCCCATCCCCAGCTTCCTGGCTGACACCCACCACGACTCGGGGGGGAGGGGTTACCTCACTCTGACCCTGACTGAGACTCTGTTCCCACTGCACAACTTACTAGCTGGGTGACTTTGGAAAACCAGCTCTACCTTCCTGGGGCACCGTCTTCTCATCTGTAAAATGGGATTATAATACCATTTGGCCTCACAGGAATATTGAGGGGTCCCATGAGATTATGCATGTGAGGTCCTCAGCACAGTGCCTATCACACAGTAAGGGATCAGTGAATGGGGCACCATTATTTTTATCGTTATTCATGCCACATTCAGGTAGACTGAGGGTTCTGTGCAGCCAGGAGGAAGGAAAGAGCTGGGCAGGCACTCTACTGACGCATCCGAATCTTGGTTCCGTCAGGATCCCACTGGGTGGTCCTGAGCAAGCCCCTGCTCTCTGAGCCTCACTTGCTTCATCTGTGAGTTGGGAATAACACCTCCTCCCTGTCCAGACCTCGCGGACTGGCCCGAGGCTCCCTGACCTCCGAACGTGGGAGCGCTGCTCGCTGAGTGTGAAGCGCGACTCAGCACCGTTCCCAGAGCTCCTGGCTCGCTCTCACCGCCAGCCCACTGCTCTCACCATCATATTGATTGTTATCAATACAAGTGATAGTGTCTCAGAGGCCTGTCTGTCAATGCTGTCTGTCCTCCTCCCCTAAGGTCCCATCTACGGTTACCACGGAGACAGACCGACCCAGCAGGAGGCCTGTCCAGTGTCCAGTGACACCTCGGACGGGCTGCCCTCATGCTCAGTGGCTCCAGGAGGATGCTGGCTGGGACAGAGCTGACTGAGGGTCACACCGACAGGGCCTCTTGGCTCCTACCTTTCACATTGAGGGTCTGGAGCTGGGTCAGGTTCCCAATGGAACGTGGGAGATACGTCAGTTGATTCCTTTCCAGGTTCAATACCTAAGAAAGGAAAAAATGATGAGACCCACCCTGGCTGGGTAGTTCACTTGGTTGGAGCGTCACCCCGATTGCACCAAGACTGTGGGTTCGATCACCGGTGAGGGCACATACAAGAATCAACCAGTGAATGCATGGATAAGAGGACCAACAAATGGATGTTTCTCTCTCTAAAAATCAATAAATAAAAATTTAAAAATAATTGTGAAAAAATGATGAGATCTCACATACAGACAAGTGATACCCCTGCTTCCGGCCAGGAATCATCTGGGCACCACACACACACACCTTTACCTTCTCCCAACAGCCTTGTGATTATGATCCCAATTGAGAGATGAGAAAACTGAGGCTCGGACCAGTGAATCCATGAGCCCAAGAGAGCAAAGCCAGACCCTGAACACAGTTCTGGCTGAGGTGCCATCATTTCCACAGACCACAAAATGCACAGCCACAGTCCCCGCATCAGGAAGGGAGGGTGGAGAGGACTGAGAGGCCCAGGGAGCCGGGTGAGGCAGCTCGTGATAAGGCTCCAGTTACCTCAGGGTCAGGAAAGGAAGCTGAGCTGCATAAGGCAGTGGGGTCTGCCCAGCTCCAAGGCCGCAGCTGCCGGCCAGGTCGGAACCTGGTTGGTTGGGTTCCGAGGGCCGTGCTTCCTCCAGGATGCATTACTGAGGTAGCCAGGCCAACAGGAAGACACACTAAGTAGCCATTAAACATAGATACCAGGGAAGCTAAGCAGCTATTGAAAATAATGTAGCAGATGAATATTTGATGAACCAAAGGATGGTTATGAGTTATTGTCAAGTATCCAAAAGTTACAAAAGAGTGAATGCAGCAATCCTATAAAACAAGCACACTACAAATGTCCCCAAAGACCCTACACCAAGGTATTCACTCTGGCTCTGATTACTTCTGTTCTGCCATGTGTTCTGTGTGACTTGGGGCAAGTTATAGTCATCTCTCTGGACAGGTCTCTCGTCTGTAAAATGCAGTGGCATCACCCACATCATAGGGTTGCTCATTCAAGTGGCTAGGTGAGGGCGTGGCCCCCACAGGATTACGTTTCAGTAGGGGAGACGGTTAAGCCAATAGACACATAATCAGTAATTATACTGCAACTGGCGCTCTAGGGGAAATAATCTGGGGTTGGAAGAGAGGCCATTCGGTAGATCTACTTAGACGGGAGGTCGGGGAGGACCCTCGGGGACACTGGGGCTGAGAGCATGAGCGGCTCGGGCAGAAGGAAGAGCCCTGTGGAGAGGTGGGCGCAGGAGGCCAGAGGGTGCCAGGAGCTGCCTGCAGGGAGCGAAGGGGAGGAAGCAGGGAGGAGGCTGCAGACATAGGGTCTGACTGGGCTTAGTGCAGAGAAGGTATTTCAATCCAAGTGTGAAGGAAAGCCGCTTCTTCCTCTGTACAATGCGATCAGTCAACACCTGCCTCACTGGGAGGCTGACCGATAGACAACACAGGGAAATGCTCACTGTGCTGGGCGCAGTGAGCACTCAACAAGTGGAGGGCTGGTGACAAGGGCTGGAAGGGAGCCGAGTCAGTGCTGAGCTCAGCATTTTAAAAGGTGCACCCGCTGGGCCCTCTTTTTCTGCAAAGTTGTGGAAGCTCATGATGAAATCCCCAAAAGAACAAGCCCCCAAACATGGCGGGGGACACCCACAGCCCAGACTGCAACAGCGAGGGCCTCCTGGGGTCTTAACAGCAAAGGGGCAGGGGCGCTGGCCCGAGTGCCGCCCGTGGAGCTGCAGTTTATCACTTCGACATCAAGGTGGGTTTTCTGCTTCTGTGGCCTTACTTGAAGGGCCGTCAGCTGCCCTATATCCTCAGGAAGGGCTGTCAGCTGATTATCATGAAGATCCAGAACCTGCAGAAGGAAGACAAGCTCAGCACCCAACAGCGACCAACGGAGACCACCCCTCCCATCTCAGGGCCAAGAGGCGAGTGGCGGCGCCTGGACCTCTGCCGCTGGAGCAGCACCAGCCTTTCCTCTCCAACCGAGCAACATCCCACCTCATTTCCTCTCCCACAGTATCGTCCCACTTCAACCTGTCATTCATCAAATATTTACTTTTACTATTGAGTGAAAAAAGTATGCGGACATTTCTATGTTTAAGAGAAAAAATCTTCATAGTATAAATATAAATTTGCAAAGAAAATGACTACTAAACATGCAATAAAATGTTGATGGTGGTTCTCTGGAGTATGAAATAATATATGTTTTTCCTCATTTTCTGCCTACCTGCATTTGTTAATTTTTTCACAATGAAAATGAGCATAAAAGACATATATATGCATCCATATGCATATATACTATACATGTATATGAAATACATGATATATAAATACACATAAACATAAAAATTTAATGTTATGCCTTTCTGACTATAACCACGTTGGACAATGAAGAGAAGCAAAAGCTACCCCAGACACATCAGAGTTACCCATAAAAACACCTGGGTGCCTGTGCTGCCCGCCTCCTGGTGTGTACACCCAGGTCACAGCTTGTGGTCCTGGGCTCAGTCCTGTGGCCACACCTCACATACTGTGTGAGTATCACACCCCACTCCTGTGCTGACAGTCAGGAGGGATCGCCCGGGTCACCAGGCTTTCACACACTGACCACATGATGCCTGGCATCATCCTGTTCCAATGGCCTGGAACCAGCAGTCTCCCTGCTCTCTGCTAGTTCGCTTGCTATGGGTCTGTGGTTTGTCTTTCCACCCAGCAGGCAAGTTCCCCGAGGACAGGGCCTGTGGCTGGTTCTCTTGGTAACCCCTCCCCACACCCCACACGTAGAAGGTGCCCAGTAAACCATGCTGATCAAACCCCAGATGGAATACTACACTGGGCCTGCCTGGCATAAACTCGAACAAGGGACGCCTGGCTGCCACCTGGAACTCCAGGCCACTAAACATGCAATAAAACATGGACAGTGGTTCTATCCTGATGCCTGGGAGGAGGGCCCCAGTACCTTGATGGTTATAAGACTTAGGACGCTGCAGGATTTCGGAAGCAAGGAAGTGAGGTGATTCGTGTGGACAATCAACACCTGTGGGAAAGATTTCGGCACGGCTCCTTAGATTGAAGCGCATCAGTGGGGAGGGCTGAGGGCAGGTGGGCTGGGCGGGGATGGGATCTCCAAAGTGGAATCAGATGACCTCAAGACCTGGAATTTCAAGGGTAAAAGGGACCTTGGAAGACTAAATCTACCCTCCATTCTGAGAAGGGAGTCCCTCGAGCGCTTGTCCTCATCTCCGTGGGCTGCCAGGATGACTACAAGCTAATGGACACTCGGCCCGGGGCTGTCACTTTTGTTCGGCAGGGACTCCCGCGTGGATACTTCCAGTGTCCAGCAGCTCCCTACTCTGTTGGTATGGGACACTTCTCACCTACCTTCAGCTAGATAATTTCCTTAGATTACTCTATCCAGCTGCATTCAGAGCTGCAAAGCCTTTCTGAACAATCATTCATTACACTTTTAATCTCCCCAGTGACCAGAATGAAGCAAGTGTAGCTTTCATTATTAATAACAATGCGGTTGCTCAGGGTTTTCCACGTGGCAGGCACCATACTCTGTGCATTTATATCTCTGTCTCTACCAGTCACTCACTCAGTTCTCACTACAGCTCTGTGAGAGTAAAGCTAAGAATGTGTTCACTTCAGAGGTGAGGAAACCGCGAGGGAAGAGTTTGAGGAAGTTGCCCAAGTCCCGAGGGGCAAAGCCAGGACGTGACCTGGGGCTGTCCAATGCCAAAGCCGACTCTCCCAACTGTGAACAGACCTGCTGCAGGCGGAAAGGGCAAGAATCGAAGAGGGATGCCAGGAAGAGAGCGCCTAAAAGTCCCACCAGATTGCAGTAAACATGCAATAAAGTCTCTAAAAACGGGTTGCCTCACCTTCTTCTGTAGAACTTTGCATGTTGCAAAAGCCCCAAATGGAATCTAAGATGAAATAAAGATGAGTTAGTATCTCTCCTCCCTCGAGTTTTTAATTTGTTTTCTGAGTGTGAGGGAGAGAGGGGCAGGAGGCCCACGATGCAAAATGCTGATGTGAACGGTAAGCCCAGGGAAAGGTTGGTGAGGAATGTGGCTTGGATACCCCAATCAGCCCCCCATCAGCTGGCAGGAAACTGCCCTGCCCGGCCCTGGCCCCCCGGCCCCATCCCCATCCCCATCCTCAACGCTATCAGGGCCAAGGAAAGCTCTCTGGTGCTTTGCAGAAGCTGGAGAAACCCAGGTCTCCGAGGAATCTGTGGTACATTTTCTAACTAGACTTGGACTCTTGAAGACAATGCTCAGGCCAAAGATCACCTCAATTCTTTTGGACAGGAACAACATCTAAGGACACATCTCCGCACTAGGGCTTCCGGACTTCTGAAAGCCCCAGTCCAGGGAGAGGTCAACCAAAGGACTCGTATGCATGCATATAAGCCTAACCAATGGACACAGACACCAGGGGGGTGAGGGCATGGGTGGGGGGGGGGGGCAATGGTGGGATAAGGACACCTATGTAATACCTTAATCAATAAAGAAAAGAAAAAGTTTTTTAAAAAAAGAAAGCCCCAGTCCATATCTGTCAGGGACAGGTGATTCAAGGAAAAAAAAAAGACAGATCACATTCACAACCAGAGCAGCAGCCCAATTTACCTCTGAGAGCTCACATTTAGAGATGTCGAGAATGTCATCTGCCCCAGCTTCCTTTGCCTAAGGATAAAAATAATTTGTATGTTTCAAACAAAACATCCTTGCAGAGCGGACACACCAGGCAAAGACAGGATTAAGGATCTGCAAGGGGCCTTGGACAGCATGTGGTTCAGCTGGTCCATGTTGTAGGTGGACCAATGCTCCCTGCTTTCAAGGGGCTTCAGGGCCAGCAGGGCGGAGCAAACGCACAAGTACTGACAGGTGTCACCCGTCTGTGGAGGGAAGCACAGGGCACTCCCGAGCACCTGACGGGCAGCCTCATCCTTCTGCTCTAAGTCAGAGGTTTCCTCTGGGCCTGGGGGAGGCTGAGAGGAGGGAGCACGGCTTGTCTGGGGGGCAGTGCAGAGCCCTGCTTCATGGGGCAGGTGGAGATGGGGAGGAATTCAGAGGAAACCCTCACCAGACACATCTGGTACTCCAGGCGTTTCTGAGCCTCCTCGCTGGGTTTCCGCTTCCGGAAGAAGAGCGGCATCCTTCCTTTCCCCCGAGCAATCTTCACGGCACTAGGGCATCAGAGAAAGGCTAGGACCTGGGGAATTTGTCACCGCCTCTCAATCCCCAGGACAGGTCACACGGTCACACAGAGCATGTAGCTGATCTGCTGGACTGTAAGTTCCCTGAGGGCAGGTGCTGCATCCATCTCGACCATCACTCCGTGTCCTGAGCCAGGCATGGCAGGCGCTCAATGCCCTCTGTTGACGAGACAATAAGCAGCAGTACGCGGTGGAAAGAGCACCATGGCAAGCCAGGTGGCCAGGGTGTGGGCCCACATTTGCCACTGGTCACTGTGAGACCTTGGCATACTTTTGCCCCATTCTGGATTCCCATCTCTCCACAAGGGTGTGGCCTAGAGAAGGTTCCTCAGGTCCTTTCTAAGGATGCCACCCGAGGACTCTGACAGATTGGCCTGGTGAGTCCCTTCTAGCCTCCGAAACACTGTTAGAGAGGCACCAGCACATCCAACATGGCATGACGTCAGCCAGCCCCGACCTTGGGGAGCTCAACTACACCATCACCAAAGAGATTTTTAAAACAGAAATTCAAAAGCCATTCTCAGGCACCTTGCCACTCTCACAGTTGTTACTCCATTTGATTCTCACCACAGCCCTGTTTATAGTGATGAAACTGATGGTGACTGAGTTCAGTGACCTGGTTATACAGCCTGGATTGCAGCAAAACCAGTCTGGAAGTCTGCTCTTTTGAGCCCCGATCCTGCAGATTTGCCCAACTCTCTGGTGCTGGAATAACTCAGCACACACCAAGTCCACTGTCCTGAACCCAGAAGCCAGGAGCTCACTGCCTGCCCAGGATCTGCAAACATCAGCGCTTGAGGGCGGCCGTCGATGGGCCAGGAAGCCATCATCCAGGAAGCTTATGGCTCACAGCATGGGCTTTGGGATGAGCTATAACTGGGTGGGAATCCCAGATCCAACACCCACCAACCATGTCACCTTGGTTCGCCTCTCTGAGCCTCAGTTTCCTCATTTGTAAAGTGTAATAATGTTACCAACACCCGGTTCTATGAGGGTCCAGTGATTTCATGTATGTAAAGCCCATAGCACGGTACCTGCCACATAACGAGCGCTCAATAAATGTTGGCCACACAGCACCACACTTATTCAGGGCCCCCTAGAATTTAAGGAGCTAGCTAGACACACACGCAGCCCGGGGGGCGGGGCGGGGGGGAAGGAGGGGAAGAGATCACTGGTCTCCGCCCACAGGGTGTGGGCTGTCTGGGGAGCCGGCCAAGACTGCAGAGCTGGCTCAGGCCCCTCTTGTCACCCCATCTTCCTGCAGGGATGAGGACTAGTCCAAAAACAGCCCTCCCCCATCCTTCCCTGACGACCAGCTCTTACCCTTTATGCTCCCCAATGACAAACCTTTCACCACCTCCTCCCCAATAACCCTCCCTCCCAGATGCGCTCTTCCCAACCTGCTGCCCGACGTCCACCCCTCGTCCATCCCCTCCCCCGACGTCCCGCCCAGACCGGGGAACCACACCCATCTTCCCCGGCTGCAGCGGGGAGTGCCCGACCTGGCTTCGTGGGTGGACAGGTCCCGACGTTCGTTCCGCGGGCGAACCTGAGGGCAGGCCGATCACTCGTGGGGCTTGGTCATGGACGCTGGGCCGCAGACCACCTGGCAGGGGCCCCGGTGGATCGGGAGACTGGTCTCCCCCAAACGCCGGAGCTGGGGACCGAAACTCAGCATCTCAGAAAGTCATGCAGACCAGGATGACGAAGTCTGAGACTCCGAGAACCGCAGCATCTTGGAATTAAGAGTCCGAACGGATGTGGACGCGAACGGAATTGTTTTGATAACTAAAATGCACACATCGCGAGGGAGTTAAAAGAGGGCCCGAGGTCGCTGTGGACCTGGCGTCCTGGAATGTGTGCGGACCGCTCCGGAGGGGCGGAGCTCGGGATTGGGAGACAGGGACCAGGGGGTGATCCTCATCACAAGGGAGAATGGGGGACAGGAGGATCGGGATCTTGGGAGCAGCTCTCTCTCGTCTGCCTCCCTGGGCGAACTGCCCTGAACCCCCTTCCGAGCACACAGTCACAGCTTACCCGGTGCCAGGTTCTCCACTTCTCAGCTTCTGGCGCCTGCCCACAAGGAACATGGCGGCAGGGGCGTCGCTGGGAGGCTGGGCGGAGAGGGCGGTTCTCGCGACAGGCGGAGAGGGAAGTTCTCGCGAGAGCTGCGCTTTCCGGCCTATATCCGGCGCAGCTGAAAGGCCTTCCGGTCTTTCGGCTTTCGGCTCGGAGGAGGCTCAGGTGCAACTTTCTTCGGTCGTCCCGAATCCGGGTTCATCCGACACCAGCTGCCTCCGCCATGCCGCCGAAGTTCGACCCCAACGAAATCAAAGTCGGTGCGTGTTTTAGGTGCGGCCGGGGCTGCGGGAAAGCATCCCTTCTCCCAGCAGCCCGTCGGGCCTGCGGCCCCTCCGCAATTACTACCTTTACCACGTCGCGTTTTTAAGCTGTTGCCTACTAGAGGCCTTTCCGGTGCCGCGTTCAGGGCGCCGTGAAGTCCTAGCCGAGCCTCTTACTCTTTCTGGGCCTCGGCTTCCCCACGTGCAAAATGGGGAGGGAGGACCGGAACACCTGCGGCGGCGTTGCAGCCCGCGCGCCTTAGGGTAAGGTTTGTCTCCGGCGCTTCCCCCCGTGGACTGGGTCGGCTGCCTCCACGCCGGCCCGGTGTGGGCCTCGTTAGCCGTGGCCGAGCCGAAGGCCGCTGGTCCTCGTGGCGCTTGGAGCCGTCCACGCCCGAGGAGGGGGTGGCCCGCCTCGCTCCTCCCCGAGGTTCTCGGTGCTGTTTGAAGAGGCAGAGTGGCGTGGCCAGCCCGGAGCGACGCGAGAGGGCGGTGGCCGGGGCTCTGCAGAAGCACTTACGGTTTTTCCCTCCCAGTCTACCTGCGGTGCACCGGCGGGGAAGTGGGCGCCACGTCTGCCCTGGCCCCCAAGATCGGCCCCCTGGGCCTGGTAAGTCATCCTCGCGGGGGGAGGGGGCGTTTCTTACTCGGGAGCCGTTGGGCTCCGCCTTGTCAGACACAGCTGTGCCCGAGGGGCCGATTTCCATCCCCGCGTAGACCTCGGACTCGCTGAATTGCCGCTAGGTGTGTTAGGAAGGTTCTGTCTGTGCGCTTAGAGCCCAGTGCCTCTTACCCGCTGTATGAGTACCCGAGGGAGAGGCCGGGAGGGCCACGGGAGGGTTTTGAAGTTCAGTGGCTTAGTGACTTTTAGCCTATGTTTTCTTTATTTTTATTGATTTCAGAGAGGAAGGTAGAGGGAGAGAGAAACATCAATGATGAGAGAATCATTGATCGGCTGCCTCCTGCACGCCCCATACTGGGGATCGAGCCCACAACCCAGGCACGTGCCCTTGACCTGAATGGAACCCAGGACCCTTTAGACCACAGGCTGACGCTCGGTCTACTGAGCTGAACCAGCGAGGGCTTAGCCTATGTTTTCTAGTGAGGGAAATGGGCATTTCACTGTGTGGAGGCTTAAATGGGATGTTGGGTGAAGATTCTGGTGAGCGTTATAATAGCTGTGCTTCCTATTCTGCTCCAAACCGACTGGTTAATGTGACCAGCTTTCCTTGACGATCAGTCTTATTTTTTTCCTAATCCATTTTACTGAAGTTGGATTTCCCAAAATATGAGACCTTTGTTACTTGCACAGTGGTCTCTTGTCCCAAGTGTTGTCCCACCTTGGTCTTGCTTAACCAGTGTCTTCTTGTTTTAATTCTTTATTGTTGAAAGTATTACATATGACCCGTTTCCCCCCATTGTCCTCTTCCAGCCTGTCCCGCCCCCCAGCCCTGGCCTTCACCCCCCGCCCCCCCATCGTCTGTGTCCATTGGTTATGCTTAAATGCACACATTAACCAATGTCTTCTTGGCCCTTATCTCTGCTGGCATTAGGGACATGTTTCCTAGTGGTCACTAGGAAATTCTAAAGTAGCAAATGCCAGACCTCCATCCCCATAGATTGACTTGGGTTGGCCTGACACAGGAACCTGATAACTTAAAAGGTCTCCAGATGATTTGAATGTAACTAGTGTGGAAATTTTCTCCCTACGTTATCACGTAGGTCCTTATGAGAGGTTAGGTAGGTAATTTTGCCCCATTATGGCCCTTGGCCTGCAGTTTACAACCCTGAACAAACCACCCCTAGCTTAATTTTTCCAGTTTATGCTATGCTGAGAGCCTTGCCTTGATTGGGTAGGCGCAGTTGTTTGCAGAGTTTCCTGTGCTCTATAAGGAAGATTTGGGGTATTGGCAAGTGAGGAAGACTGGGTAGGTTTTCAGGACACTTAAACTTAAGGCACAATATGATTTCATACCTTTATTTCTACAGTCTCCAAAAAAGGTTGGTGATGACATCGCCAAAGCAACCGGTGATTGGAAGGGTCTGAGGATTACAGTGAAACTGACCATTCAGAACAGACAGGCCCAGGTACTTGGTTTGAGGGTGGGCAGGGGTAGCCACCCTCTGGGAGTCCTGGGTGGAAGGTTTTGCTGACATGGCCACCTACCATTAGTGGTGAGAGCAATTTTATGTGTGGGGAAAGCTTTCCTGAGAGCAAGGTCAAAGACATGCTCAAATAGTAACTCACTGTGTGACATTGGGCAAATCACTTAATTCTCCTTGGCTAGGACGTGTTTTGGATTTTGAAAATTACTTGAGATAGTACAAGTCCAGTGTCTGCCCCATGGTCTCCAAGAAACCAAGTTTCGTGGCAATATTGTCTTAATTGGAGGTTGGGGTAGGGCTTGATCATAATGAGAATCTCTTCTTAGATCGAAGTAGTGCCTTCAGCCTCTGCCCTGATCATCAAAGCCCTCAAAGAACCGCCAAGAGACAGAAAGAAGCAAAAAAACAGTGAGTGGCCTTTCTCTGACTAGTTTGTGAGCGGTGGTGTCTGCATGATGCTTGATACTTAGCTGCATGCTTTCTTTCTAACGTGACCTAGGGATGGCATGGGGATTTGATGCAGGCTGTTAGGTAGCCAGGCGGTATCAAGAAGTGCCATTCAGGGCGAAACAACAGAATGATGAATTAAGAGAGCACTTCTCAGTTGGGTGACACTGAATAGATTAACTAACACCAGTAACTTAAGCTTGCTTTTTCTCATCTCTAAAACAGTCACGTACATGTTAAGATTGGTAAAGGTTTGATTTTGCCATTAGCCACCCGCCACTGCACCTGACCACTTCTCTGTTGGCTGGTGCATTCCAGTGGTGAGCTGAAAGCAAACCCCAGCTTAGGAAACAGGGTCATTCTTCATGTGGGTGACTCTGTGCCGAAAGTATGGGAACAACCAGGAAGTGGCTGAGGGAGGACGTTATGTGGTCTGCTCTGGCTTTGGCTTGTGACAAAGCTTTTGGTTTGTTTTCTTTTTCTGCAGTTAAGCACAGTGGAAATATCACTTTTGATGAGATTGTCAGCATTGCCCGACAGATGCGTCACCGATCTTTAGCTAGAGAACTCTCTGGTAAGAGGAGGACAACATGGAACCACCTAGTGATATGGGGCATATTCACTGAGTGGTACCTTTTTCCCACTTAATTCTGTAAGACCCAAAATTTGGGGTGTAGTCTTTTCTGGGTTTGAAAAGTGGCTTGATCATGGTGATTTGGGGCCAGATGGATTTAATCTGGGCATCAAGGGTCCCATGGAGACTTGGCATTCAATTCAGGCCTTGCATAACTAAATGGGAGCTCTCAAGTAGGGGAGTCGGGGTGTTTCTTTCTGGTATTTTATGACTGTCTGCTGTGGAACTCAAATGGATTTTCCCAGTGGTGTCTGAGGATTGTGAGGGGCTGGTGTTCCCATCTAATGCCACCTTTTCTTAATTATAGGAACCATTAAAGAGATCCTGGGTACTGCCCAGTCTGTGGGGTGCAATGTTGATGGTCGCCACCCTCATGACATCATAGACGATATCAACAGTGGTGCAGTGGAGTGTCCGGCTGTAAGTGACTTCTGTATTTTGTTTGCTTAAAATCAGGCTGAAAGCTGGAGAGTTCTACAATTGGTCAGTAGTGGGGTTGAGAAGACTTTTTTCCGATCACTGATAGGATTTCTTTTTTCTTTCCTACAGAGTTAAGAACTACAAAGGAAAATGTTTCAATTAAAGATCATTTGACAAGCAGTGGACTTTTTGATGTGGCCTTTTCCCTGGGGGAGCTAGGTTCTTTGTGGTCAGGTGGTTAGTGGGACCAAGTGGGGGACCTGTGGAAGCATCATTCTGGGCATCTGTTATCTTACCAGTAACAGATTTCTGCTCTCGATGGCACCAGCTCTCATGAAAGACACCTAGAAAAGAAGTCTCAGCGGTTTTTGTAGACATTCCTAGAGCTCTTCGTAAGAAATAGTTCTTGGCCAGAAGGAAAACTTGTGCAGCATAACTACGTGGGTGATGTTCTTCATCTTAGACCAAATCATTTGGGGGGTTGGGGCCCAGGGTCTGTAATTCAAGACTTCGATATCCATTCCAGTACACAGCTGGGGTTAAATGATTGGATAGCAAAGAAACCTGATCTATGTCCTTCATTAATTATGTGAAAGTGAGGGTCAAGTATACTTCTAAGGTTTAGCTACAGCCTAGTCCTCACATTCTCTTGGCTTTAAACTAGTAACAGATTATAATCTATGTTTTCACCTTTTTCTTCATCATCCCTCTCTTTCTTCTAAATCATCCTTAGAGCTTATCACTCGCTTTTCCTTTATTAGACATGCAATGGATGGGCACCTGGGCACTGGGATAAGCCACAATTGAGTAGCTTGAAACTCCACTTGGGAATGATTAACCCAAGAACTTCATTTTTTTGCCATTAGTTGTTTCTTTGCTCTCCCATTAATTTTGTCAACAGGCCCTTTAGTAGGTGGTTTTTAGTCACCCCAGGTACAATCAGGGTTGGAGAACACACTATCTTTAGTGGAAAGGTGAGGGAAAAATAAGTATTCTAGGACATGTGCCAAGTCATCCAAAGAATCAAAGCTAGAGGCTTGGGGTGAGAATAGTTGACACAAGCTTCCCTTGCAGCAGGCGGCCAGTACTGGGAAATCTGTCCCTGAAGTCAAGCGCATTCCTAACCAAAACCCAGGGAAAGCACACAGTGGTTTGTAACTGCTGAGATGAGATCACATCAGTTGGTGTAAATGTCAACAGTAGGACCCAGGTCAGTGCAAAGTGGAAAAGCAAAGGGAACTGCCTTCTAGTGGGAAAAGCAGGGATAGCCCACCTGCCTCTGCACAGGGAGAGCATGGCTTCATCAGGTCGTCCCTCCCTGTTAGGGTGTGCCTTATGGGGAGATTTTGGTAACTTAGCCTCCTGACATCGTCAGCTTCTGTCCTTCCAAGACTTAACAGCTCAAACAGCACTAGGTCAGTTCATAAAGTGGACATAGGGTGTAGCAGTGTTGTGGTGCATCTGTGTGTGTGTAGATTTTCATATGTTTAGCATTAAGGCATGAATCCTTCATCACCTACCCTCAGTGAAATTGTAACATTAAATGGTTGGCCCCCAGAATCTTTCCTACTTGAATTTACTTCCCCAAATCAGATACTTTATTGACCCCATTATAGAGAAATGCTCTTTCCTGGCCAAAATTCTTGGTTCTTTTGGTTTTTACAAGTCATTCAAGGAGGGATAACCATTGCTGAAATACCTAGTGTTTAAGTAGGAACCAGGTCTTCCACTGATTTGATCAGACCTTTATAAACCAAGGTTTCTTGGAGTGCTTGGTACACCAAAAAGCACTTAGGCTCACTGAATATAGGTGGCTAGTAATTTGAGTTGGGTTATATAGTTGTTAAAGAAAAAAAGCTCCTGAGACCTTCCACATGAAATAGTCACTTTATTAAAGGTGCGAAAGTGTGTTTCTAGAGGCTTTCAAACCATCAGGTCCCCATCCACGTTGGTCATGTTCCCAGTTACTCTCTAGCATGGAGTCTCTGGTGTCTAATGAAAGCTGAACTACACCTGAAGGCCTTCCCACACTCCCTACATTGGTAGGGTTTCACACCCGTGTGAATTCTCTGATGCTGACTAGGGGATGAACTCTGGTTAAATGCTTTACGGCTTCTCCCCAGTGTGGGTCTTTTGGTGGATTATAAGATGTGTACTTTGGCTGAAGGCCTTCCCACACTTGCTGCACTTGTAGGGTTTCTCTCCAGTGTGAGTCCTCTGGTGGTTTGTGAGGTTTGCTCTCTGGCTGAAGGCCTTCCCACATGCGTTGCATTTGTAAGGTTTCTCTCCTGTATGGATCCTCTGATGCTGTATAAACGCTGCACAGTAACTGAAGGCCTTCCCACACTCACTGCACTTGTAGGGCTTCTCCCCTGTGTGAGTCCTCTGGTGGTTTGTGAGGTTGGCACTGTGACGGAAGGCCTTCCCACAGTTGCTGCATTCGTAGGGTTTCTCTCCAGTGTGAATTCTCTGATGCTGAGCAAGGGCTGAACAGTCACTGAAGGCTTTCTCACACACAGTGCATTTGTAGGGCTTTTCTCCAGTGTGAGTGCGTTGGTGTTTTGTGAGGTTTGCATTCTGGCTGAAGGCTCTTCCACACTCACTGCATTTATAAGGTTTCTCTCCAGTGTGAATCCTTTGGTGCTGAGTAAGAGATGAGCTCTGGCTGAAGGCCTTCCCACATGCATTGCACTCATAAGGCTTCTCCCCAGTGTGGCTCTTCTGATGCTGTGAAAGGGAAGAACAGTAACAAGGCTTTGCCACATTCGTTACATGTGTATGGTTTTGCTCTGTGAGATTTAATTATGTCTGAATTCCTCCTGAGGCTCTTCGTTTGTATTTCACATTTATGGGGTCTCACTTTAGGAGCTCTCTGTTGTGGAGAAAGAACTGGTCGCAGATTAAAGCTCTTCCCCTGTCCACAGCTCCTATGATCTGATTCCCCAGGAGGTATCTCTACCCTTGTGTTCTGGAATGATTCTTCAGAAAAGTCTTGCTCTGGTGGTGATTCAGATACAGTCTTCCAGTCTGAAAAAGATTTAGAAAGGCAATTTAAAAAATTCCTTTGGTAGAAGAAAAGAGAATACTGAAATCCAAAGGCTGGAGGAGTTTGGCTGAACTCAAACGCAGACAGGTTTGATGCTTCACTTTTCACCCAGAACATTAGTGGTTTGTTTCTGTTCTAAACCATGAATAACGACCAGTGGCTTCTCAGGGACATTAGCTCACATTAGCCTCCCCTTTCTTGAACCTCTACCGCAGATGTGATGTTCCTTTTCCTTCTGCTACTGATCTGTTTTTGCCCAATACTACTAGGTAGTGTCTCAAGCTGTCCTAGTCTCAATTCTGTGTGGTTTTGGGCATTCTGCTTACCTGGTTTAAAAGCTGATAGCAGCCCTAGCCAGTTTGGTTCACTGGATAGTGTTGACCTGAGGACCAAAGGGTCCTGGGTTTGCTTCCCGTCAAGGGCACATATCTTGGTTGTGGGCTCCTCCCCAGCTCAGGCCCTGGTCAGGGCTTGTGCAGGAGGCAACCAATCGATGTGCTTCTCTCACATTGATGTTTCTGCCTCCCTCTCTCTTCCACTCTCCCTAAAAAAAATATCCTCGTGTGAGGATTAACAAAAAAAAACAAAAAGCTGCTAACAGTGAAGCAACATAAATTTTTTCACTTTTTAAAATTAAGACTTAAAAAAAATGTGTAATCCTAGCATTGGTAAGAATTTAGCACCCCGATATCTCATAGGCTGGTGGGCTGCATAAATTGGAACATTTCCGGAAAACAATATGGTTCATGTGCCAAGAGTCTTGAAAATATTTTTTTTAGTTGTTTTATTGCTTAAAGTAGTCTTGAAAATATTGATAGCAGAATTCTATTCGAGTTTATCCTAAGGAACCATTGAGAATACACAGCTGTCAAATGATAAGCAAACATCTAAATGTTGAATAATGAGGGGATGACCATAACACAGCCAACTAAGGGACACTATTAGCAATTGCAAGTCATGTTTGAAGTCTGCACTAATTCCTTTGGTAGAAAAGCCCTGAAAGATGTGGGTATAAGCTGTATTGTCTTTGGGTTGTGGGATCAGACAATTTTTCCTAGTGCTTATCTGTATTTCCTAATGTTCAATGTCAGTATTTTATAATACAAGTTATAAAAACCTTGCTTTCAGAGAATATGCAGTGATAGAAACACTGTTAAGTGAAAAAAGGAATATGTAAAATTACATATTACTGAATTTTGTGATATGAAAACTGTTTACTTCTGTGTGGTGGGATAGGGGATCTTGATCTTTTTCTAAATTTAACTGAACCTGCATCATTTTTACTAGAATGGATATTTTTTAAGTTAATGATTCTTTTTTAAAATTGGTGTGCAGCACATTTTTATGCCTTATGAAGTGACCACAGTAAGTCTAGTAACCATCTGTCACATTGATTCTGTTCTCTGTTCTGTAACTTAAATCACTGTGACTTATTTTATAGCTGGAAGTTTGTACTCCTTAATTCCCTTCCCTTTTTCTGCCCAACACTGACCTCCCTCCCCTCCGACCATGAGCTTGTGCTGTTTGTTTCGTTGGTTCATTTTTTTGTTTTTGTTTTTTAGATTCCACATATAGGTGAAATCAAATGGTATTTGTCTTCCTCTGTCTGACTTTTTTCACTTAACATAATACTTTTTAGAAAAGGTCCATTAATGTTGCAAATAGCTAAGTTTCATTTTTCAGGGCTGAGTAAGAAGATTCCATTGTATGTATGTATTATATCTTTACTGATCTATTATGGATAGTTTTGTTGGATTAGTCTTGGCTGGTAGTTTCAGTGTTTTGGAAGGCAGCTATGCTCACTACTATATCACCACTGCAACCTCATTTCAGTGTTTTGAATATATCATTCCACTCACCTGGCCTGTAGGGTTACTGAGAAACAGGATAATCTGGTAAGTTTTCCTTTGGCGGTTGCTGTCTGTTCCCCTGCCCCTTCCCCTCCTTGAGAATTCTTTATCATTAACTTTTTTTTTAAGTGTTTATTTTTAAATATATTTTTATTGATTTCAGAGAGGAAGGGAGAGGGAGGGAGAGAGAGAGAAACATCGATGAGAGAGAATCACGGATTGGCTGCCTCCTGCACGCCCCACACTGGGGATGGAGCCCGCAACCCGGGCATGTGCCCTGACCAGGAATCGAACCCTGACCTCCTGGTTCATAGGTGGACGCTCAACCACTGAGCCACGCCAGCCAGGCTAAAAAGTGTTTTTAAAAAATATATATATTTTATTGATTTTTTTTTTTTTTTTTTACAGAGAGGAAGAGAGGGATAGAGAGTTAGAAACATGATGAGAAATATCGATTGGCTGCCTCCTGCACACCCCCTAGGGGGGATGTGCCCACAACCAAGGTACATGCCCTTGACCGGAATCGAACCTGGAACCTTTCTATCCACTGAGCCAAACCGGTTAGGACTAAAAAAATGTTTTTATTGATTTCAGAGAAAGAGAGGGAGAGATAGAAACATCCATCCGTTGCCTCCTGCACATCCCCTCACCCGGAATTGAACCGTGACCTGGTTCATGGGATGACACTCAACCAACTGAGCACCAGTGGCCCGGCTATTACTAACTTTTGACAGTTTTAATGCGTCTTAGGGGTCTTTTTGCAGAGATAATTTCATGTCCTGTTAGCTTCTTGTACTGGATTGTCTAGTTCTCTCCTTAGTTTTGTGAAGATCTTGTCAATTCTAGATTTTCTGTTTATTTTTTTCAGTTTCACAAATTCTGTCTTCCATCTGGTTTATTGTATTTCCAATGCTTTTAGAGAGGAAAGGGGAAACATTCAGCTGCCTCCTGTATGTGCCCCAAGGGATCCAGTCCGCAACCTGTTTGATGTATGGCAGTGGTTCTCAACCTTGGCTGCACATTAGACTCACCTGGGAATCTTTTTAAAATCCTGATTCCTGGGCCTCGTCCTCTGGAAATTGTTTCTTTGTTATGTGTATGGGAAGAAGCTCTACTTAACCAACTGAGCCATAAGCCGGAGCTTAATGTGCTCTTCATCTCATTTAGTGATAGTTCTTCAGCTGCAGAATTTGTTCGGTTCTTTTTGGTAAAGTACTCCTTTTGTTCACTAATTTTATTCCTGACCTCACCTGAACTACCTCCCAGGTTTCTTGTATGTTGAGTTTCTTCATGGTAGGAATCTTGAATATCAGTCTTCCATGTCTTTCAGATTGGTTTTGGACACTTGGAAGTTACATGCTACCCTGGTTGTTCATGGTACTTAAGGGATCATTCCTCTGCCTGTGCATTTGAGGCAGTGGATTCTTTCCTTCTTTAGATACTGTTTTGATCTTAAAGATTCAATAGGTTGGTAATTAGAGGCTCTGTTTTGTTTATCAGTAGAAGGTGACATAGTGCTAAGTTTTCAGGTTTTTTTTTCTTGTGCTGTGTGTGCTTCAGGGGTTGTTATAGGTGTCCCCACTATATGTCTGGGTCCCCTCAGTCTTGGGCGTAACCACCATGGAGTGGGTGGGCAGGAGCTGGGTTCACACACGCACAGGGCTGCCTCCTGTTCCTAATGGGCACCATCACTGCTGCTACCTGGCTCTGCTGCAAGTGGAGGGAGAGGAAGGGAGCCAGATTCTTGGCCACCAATATTGTTTTTGCAGAGCCATAGTGTGGGGGCACACCCCAACACCTCCCTTGCTACTGTGTTATGTGGGGCCACCGAACTGCATCTAAAGCACTGTCCCTTGTTCTTGCTCCAATCCTGCCTCCCCTATGCATTCCAATACCCCTGCCTTCAGATGCATGGACATCTCAGGCTTCATTGGATTACCGATGTAAGCGGAGATACAAAGGAGTTTCCACACACTGCCATAATGCTGAGGTCACCCTTACATTTTTTTTAGTTTAAGGAATTTTCTTTTCCACCTAAAATCCCTTTAACTTTTTCTCTCCGGTGTTGGTTTAGCTTTTGCTTGTCTGGGAAACTAGCCTTCAATTCTAAAGGATACATGGGTAGAGTATTGTTGGTTACAGGTTTCCCCCCCTTTCATTATTTTGAATATATTGTACCATTCCTTTTTGGCCTGCAAAATTTCTGAAAAGTAGCTGATAGTTTTATGGGGGCTCCTTTGTATGTAACTAGTTGCTTTATATGTCTTACCTCTTTGTGATTCTCGCTGAGTTAATCTATTCTCCTGGGTTCACTAAACATCCTTATAAAACCAGTATTTTGAACTCTATTTGGTAGATTACTTGTCTCCATCTCATTTAATTCTTTTCCTGGATTTTGTCCCGTTCTTTCATTTGGGACGTATTTCTCTGTCTCGTTTGGCTGGTTCTATGAATTAGGCAAAACAGCACCTTCTGGAGTGGCCTGTGTCGGAGCTGCAGGCGTCCTGAGGACAGGTGCTCTGACGTGCCTTGGCAGGCCAGTTGGAGGGGCTCAGGCTGCGGAGTCCAGGGAAAGTCACAATGGGGCCTGGAGGTTTAGTTGTGGTGGGTGTGAGCCACAAGTCCCAGGGGCAAGCTGCGCTGGGACCATCTTGGCAGACGTGTGAGTGGAATCAGGCTGTGAGGAGTCCAGAGGTGAAGCCACTTCAGAGCCCAGAGCGGCTGTTGGAGCAGGTGTGAGCCACGCCAGGACCACCTTGGAAGGGCAGCTGGAAGCTGAAGCAGGCTGCAGGGAACCTCGGGTAAGCTGTGTTGCGCCTGGAGCTGTAATTGGAGCAATTACAGGCTGTGGGAAATTTTGGGGACAAGCCACGGAGCTAGTTTGGGCCTAGGTCCTGGTGTGCACTCGGGCTAGAGGGCCTGAATTGCACTTCTTGCCAGAGTTATCCAGGGAATGGGAGGGCAACATGCAGTTCCCCTCCCATTTGGCACATGCTCTGGGGTCAATAAATGGATTTCCTTCCTGTATAGTCTAGGTGTCCTTAGAACCTATTTTTTTCCCCCCACTGTTCCATGGACTTTTCCCTTGTTCTAACTGGGAGTTCATGCCTATTCATCTGATCTAAGATAGCCCCCACCCTCACCTTTGTACCCCCAGTTACTATTCCCTTATCAAATGCAGTAATGTGGGTTTCAAAGGGGCTTTTGCTCCCAAGACTCACTGGCTTAGTGTTTGTTCCCTTACCTGGACAGGTACTCCTTAGGCCTTCTCCCTCCAGCATCCATGGGCTTTTCCCTTGTTCCAGCTGGGAGTTCATACCAGGCTGGGAAACTGGAAGTCCTATTCAAGGGGGGAAAATGGGCTTTAGAGACCTGTCCTAATAGCCACCTAGCATTCAGGGGAATGGAAAAGGCCAGTTAGGCCATTAATTCCATTCATTCAACAAATTGAGCATGCACTTGTGCTGTGCACTACGGGATACAGCAGTAAGACAGACAGACATGGTGTGGTGCCAATGTCTTGGTAAAAGCATTTCTGGAAGGAATTACATGAACAGCCTCAAGAAGGGGGTCAAGCTAAGGATTTAAGCTAAGCTCATAAAGCAAGCTACTTAGGAAGATGTGAAACTACTGACTAGAGAAAACTAACCTGAGGGTTACCCCAACCCTAGTCCTAGGGGGGGAAATGGTGAGATGTAAACTCAGGGAGCAAAATGAAAATGCCCAACCAAGAATGCAGAGACTTCCTAGGGAACGAGGAAGACTAAACACTGTCCCTCCAGGGTGTCAGAGCAATTCGGAATCACTCAACGCTGGAAAGGGCCACAGGTTTTCAGACTGAGCAGAGTATATATGCTCAATGGTTTCCTTACCCAGTAGGACCAGGTTCCTGGACTTTTCTGGTATCTCCTCAAACCCTTTCCTTGGAGCTCGGACCAAGTGCCTCCACTCTTTGTGAGTAAAAGCTGCAGTCACATTGCTGAAGGGCGTGGATCCCTGAAACAACAAGCACATTTCTTGCCCAGTAACCTTTGGATATGTGGTGAGGGAGGTGGGCAGCTATGGGTGAGGTGGCTAGCAGGCCTAGAGAGGGTCTTGGAAAGGATTCAGGGCTTTGAGTTCCAGAAAAGCACTTACTATGTGCTTAACAGTATTGGATATTGGCACAAAAATAAATAAAAGTCTCTTGCTTATACATTTACAATTCTGGTAGCTTTTCCTTATGAAGAGACAACGTGTGTATATGCACGAACAGTAATTGGACAGAAAGTAACAGCTGCTTGGGAATTAACAGCAATATAGGAAAACCAAAATTAGAATCAGTTTACCCAATGAGCCACCAGGTGGAAATTGGCAAACAAATGTGAAAGCTGAATGTTCTAAGAACATTTAATAGGTATTTCTGTGAACTCAGACATGACACGATACAGGAGAGCCAAGCACATGCAATGACCTGTAATGTGTCAGAGATGGACAGAGCAGCATGTAAGACTATTGAAGAGGAATCCTGGGTGGAGGTTGGGAGGAGGCAATCAACATGCTGGCCTTATAGAAACTCCTCAGAAGGAGCAAGAGAAGGATATTATCTAAGGCAGGGGAAGCACCATGAGCAAAGCCACAGAGGCAAGAAGGTCTATTTTCAGCTCTGGGAACAGTACCTCCATTCACCTAGTTGGCCGCCCAGAAACCTGGGTGTTCTCCTTCCCCACAAATCCAAGTGCCTATTCATTCTTCCTGCGTAGTATCACTCATTGTGTCCCAGGTTTTCTACAATGAATATGTATTCCTTTTGTAATTAACAACAAAACCCCCCTTAATGTAAAAGCTGTTTTTGAGTAAATTTCCAACTTACATGTGGCCCTGCTGTGAGGAGACTAGTCACCATTCCCATTCCTTCCTCTCCTGTGCTTTCCTCTTGGGAAAGGTTAGGGCCTGGAGATCATGATTCTGGAAGAAAAGAAACAAATGAGCCATAAAAGTTTAGCTCACTAAGCTAGGAAGTCACATTCTCACTCTGAAGAGGGGGGTTCAAAAGTGTCAGGTCATGGGCTGAGTTCACAGACCCGCAGTGGGATATAAATTTCCCTTTTTTAAGCTGATAATTTTGTATGGCCTGGGGATGTCATAAATTACAAATGACCCTTGGCAGAAAAAAGGTTCCCCACCCCTGCATTAGAGTGTAGCAGAGTCTAGTATCCCCTCTTCACCACTTAGTGGCAGTGTGCAAATCACAGAACCTCTTAAATCTCATTTTTCTCATCTGTAAAGTGGGGATAAATCCCTTGTAAAGTTGTTGCTTTGAAAATTTAAAGGAAAACGCAGATAAAGCAGTTGGTACAGTGCCTAGTAAATAAGTATATAGTTTACAAATGTCCTATTCTTTGGAGAAAGTGCCTCTGCAAATTTGCCTAATCAAAGGGAAATGACCAAGTGAGATTCATACTAAGAACACAGGTTGGTTCAGCATACAAAAATCAGGCTACATAATATACCATATTAATACAAAGAAAAACTCCCACATGATCCTCTCAAAACCAAAAAGATATTACAAAATATGACACCATTTTATGATAAACTAGGAACAGAAGAGAACTAATTGCATTTGAGATGCTTTATTAAGATGTCTGCCTTGCCACTTCTATTCAGTAGTTTACTGTAAGTTCTAGCCAGGCCACTTAGGCAAGGGAAAAGAGAAAGGTATCCAGATTGGAAAGGGAGTAAAACTTCATGGTTTTGTATACATAAAATCTTCAGGAATCCACAAGCTATCACAGGTAAGTTCAAGGTTGCAGGATACAAGATGAATATACAGTAAAGGGACAACCTCTTTAAAATGGGCAAAAGATTTGAGTAGCTATTTCTCCAGGTGTATTTATAGGTATTAGCAATGAACAATCAAAAGATGAAATTTAAAGCAATTCGAAGAGTATTAAAAGAATGAAATGCCTAGTAATAAAAACAGGAAGTGTAGGCATGTACACTAAAAACCACTGTTGAGTTGGTGCAATCCCTGTCAAAATCCAACTGGCTCTTTTACAGAAAACTAATCCAAAATTTCATGGAAATGCAAGAGACCCAGAATAGTAAATCTGGAAAATGAACTAAGTTGAAGGACTCATTTGCAATATCAAAACTTTATACAAAACAGTAATCAAAATAGCGCTGTACTGGTACAAGGGCAGACATACAGTGTATCAATAGAAAAGAACTGAGTCCAGAAATAAGCACATTGTATAAACAACTGATTTTCAACAAGAGTACTAAGAAACTAAGTGGGGAAAATATTCTTTTCCAAAAAAATGGTGCTGGGGCAACTGGACATCCACATAAAAATGAAGTTAGAGGCCTTGACTGAGTAGCTCAGTTGGTTAGAGCAGCAGTCACCAACCTTTCGGACTGGTTGGCAGCTGCTGGGTTAGAGCATCATCTCAATATGCCAGGATTGCAAGTCTGATTCCTGGTCAGGGCACATATGAGAATTAACCAATGAATGCATAAATAAGTGGAACAACAAATGGATGTTCCTCCCTCTGAAAATCAATAAAAGAATGAAATTAGACCCCTACCTTGTACTGCTAATGAACTCAAAATAGATCAAAGACCTAATGTGAAAGCTAAGTCCTAGAAGAAAATATAGTTTCTTAGATATGGCACCAAAAGCACAAGCAACAAAAGAAAAAAATAAATTGGATTTCATCAAAATTAAAAACTTGGTGCTTCAAAGGACACTATAAAAAATGTCAAAAGAGCCCTAGCTGGTTTGGCTCAGTGGATAGAGTGTCAGCCTGTGGACTGAAGAGTCCCAGGTTCGATTCTGGTCAAGGGCACATGCCTGGGTTGCGGGCTTGATCCCCAGTGTGGGGCGTGCAAGAGGCAGCCAATCGATGATTCTCTCTCATGTTTTTATCTCTCTCTCAAATCAATAAAAAAATATATTTTTAAAAAATGTCAAAAAGATAACCACAGAATGGGGAAAAATATGTGCAAAATCATAAATTTAAGGGTCCAGTATCCAGAATACATAAAGAATATATAAACAGCCCTAACCGGTTTGGCTCAGTGGATAGAGCGTCAGCCTGCGGACTGAATGGTCCCAGGTTAGATTCCGGCCAAGGGCATGTACCTTGGTTGCAGGCACATCCCCGGTAGGGGGTGTGCAGGAGGCAGCTGATCGATGTTTCTAACTATCCCTCTCCCTTCCTCTCTGTAAAAAATCAATAAAATATATATTTTTTAAAAAAGAATATATAAACAAAAAACTCAATTTCAAAATGAGCAGTGGATTTGTATATTTCTCCAAGGGAGACATACTAATAGCCAAAAAGTACATGAAAAGATGTTCAACATAACTAATCGTTGGAGAAATGCATATAAAACCATAATGAGGTACCACTTGGCACACCAGATGGCTAAAATTTACAGGTGGAAAACAAGCATTGATGTAGGGAGAAACAAACATTCATACATTGCTACTGGGCTGATGGATGTTGGGTGGTTTCCAGTTTGGGCTATTATGAATAACTAGAGGCCCTGTACATGGATTCGTGCACATTGAATGGTGCAGCCACGGTGGAAAAGAGTTTGGCAGCTCCTTAGAAAGTTAGACCACACAGCAATTCCTTTTCCATGCATACACCTGAGAGCAATGAAAACGTGTCCACACAAAAACGTTTGCACACATTCATAGCATTATCTATATACATAAAAGCCTACGTGAGTCCGACCAGCAGCTATGACACACAATGACCACCAGAGGGCAGATGCTCAATGCAGGAGCTGCTACACTGTGGTGACTTGGCATCTGTGGTTCTTGGGTGATGCACCTGGAACCAGAGATGAGGGAGCCCAATTCTAGGGTGCATCACCAGAGAACCGCCCTCTTGCAATCTGGGGCCCCTCGGGATGTCGGAGAGCCTGTTTTGGCCTCATCCCCACAGGCCAGGCTGAGGGACCCCAACTCACTCCACAGACGCCCTTTGAGCTGCATTGCCACCCCAGGTGTGGCTGGCCGGGGAGGGACCTCGGGAGGTTGGCTCCAAGGCATGTCTGCCGGTCTCACCCAGTCCCACCCTGCCAACCACCTTTTAATTAATTTCCTTTCAATGTGCACGAATCCATGTACAGGGCCTCTAGTTATTCGTAATAGCCCAAACTGGAAACCACCCAACATCCATCAGCCCAGGGACAGATAAAATGTGGTACATCCATATAATGGAATATTATTCAGCCATAAAAAGGAGTGAGATGCATTGATGTTACAAAATTACCCTAAGTGACAGAAATCAGACACATACTGTATGATTCTATTTTTATGAAACGTCCAAAATGGGCATATCCATACAGACAAAAAATAGATTAGTGGTTGCCAGGGACTAGAGGAGGGGGAAGGAGTGGTTAATGGGTATGGGTTTCTTTTTAGGGTGATGAAATGTTTCAGAACTAAATAGTGGTGGTGATGGTTTTGCAACTTTGCAAATATACTAAAAGCCACTGAACTGTATACTTTAAAAGTGAATATAGTATGTGAATTATATTTCAGTTAAAAAATAGAAGAGGTAGTATAGTCCTCAGAAAAAGAAAGAAAAAGGTCTGGATACAGGTCTTAGTACAGACCTTAAGTTACTGAGTTTCACCTAACTCCACTGTATCTTATTTTTCTCTTCGGAGGATGATAACCTGCTGCTTGCGTTCTCAGGTCTCTGGGGAAGACAGCACGAAATGCTGGTTGTCAAAATGGACTTGAAGAGTTACTGACGAATACAGGGGCTCCTTGATTTAGGGGAGGATGGCACAAGCCTTGGTGGTTAAGATGAAATTAAATGCACATTTGTTCTGTTCTCCAAGGCGTTAACAGTGATGCTTACAGTTCTTACTGGCAATCGAGGCACTCAATGTTATTTTACCCTTTCCTCCATAAAGAAACACAGGTTAAACAGGACTTCTGATTCCAAATCCCCAGTACCTTCCACAGCTTTACGATCAGCTGGGTTCAACCCGCCCTCATCTCAGGTGGAGTCAATAGACTCCTGTTCCGAGGATCCTTGGCTGCTTCAAGAGCTGGGAGATCAGAAGCAACGGAGGAGACCCCGAGTACGTCCCAGGGTGAGGGGTTGGGTACTCAGAGATTATCCCGGACTGAGCTCCTCAAACTTTTTTGACCTCAGAATTCTTTATTAGAGATCGTCCCTAAGTGAAAACGACAACCGCGGGGTTCGGGGCCGCGTCGCACAGCAGCAATAGTGGGCAAGCTGGGACAGGCTGGCCTGCAAACCGTTCCCTCAGCCCACTCACCTTCCTCCAGCATTTGGGTATCACCACGCGACACCGCCTCCCAGCAGTTCTCTGGGAGTCAACGTCGCTTCACTGCAGCGCCAGGCCCGCTCTGCAGGCCTGCTCTGCCCGCGGAGTCCTCTCTCCCGCCTTCCCCCGAGGCCGGGTCTGAGCCTGCGGTGCTGGGTTCCGGGAGCTCGGGTGGGGGCTGTCCAGCCGGGTCTTTCACTGTCTCCCTGCCACAGCCAGGCCTCGGCTGGGGAGCCCGAGGCGCAGCCAACGACTCAGTCTCAAACAAAACACCGCGTGAAAATACCGCAGGCAGGTAACCAGGTACCGGCTCCAACTGAGAAACTGGCTTCAGGTCCTGCCAAACATCACGTCCTCTTCTCGCGCCAAAGAGGACGCTCGAAAACAGCATCACTTCCGGTCATGCGCACTTTCCTTCCAGCCCCTCTAGCTTCTATTCCCTAGAAATCTCCGGGCTCTCTTCCTAGTCAAAGCCTGTTCTCTCGGTGCCAGCTTTGTGATCCGCACACCCTCCTGGATCGTGCTTCCTAGAGAGGCTTCCGCCAGTTCTCGCTCCCAGAATCTATTTCCCATCATGCTATGTCGCACATGCTCTTCAGGTCCACCGGAATCCAACGCCTCGAGCCTCTGAGACGGGAAGCGACTTGGCGCTAAGGATCATGGGAGTTGTAGTTTTAGCGCAGACAACAGATCTAAACTGGTTCTCGGCTCCTGATTTTTCAGTTGGTCACGTTCCCAGAGCAGCAGGTGAAGAGGGTTTTCTCCTTCCCGGTCCTTCAACTCGGGCCCAGCTCGACACCTTCACATTCCTCTTGAGCCTCTCAGTGTGAACATGGCTGTCACCGGTTGGTGGCCTGGAATTCCCAACGTATAAAATCAATCTGCAGGAGGGAACCTCTTCAGTAATTTCAGGGGCAGAAACACACTTTGATAGTGTTTGATCAGCACTGTTGCAAAAGGAGATTCCTGAACTTTCTGTCCGTTGGAGGACTCCCTGCTGCGTCAGGGGATATTTCAATGGACCTCCTCAGAGCATTGATGAAAATTCTTCGCCACCCAAGCAATTTTCCGATAACCCAATTCAATTTTAGAGGAATTTTGACAATAAGACGGGAATGCGTTACCTGGGAAGCGGAAACGAGTGTAGGAGTCCTAAGGCCTCTTCTCACGTTGTACGGTCTCGGCCCCTTTCAGTCACAGCTGGTAGCGTTTTTGCCAATATAACCCTCTTAACTTAGTGAGTCCTGTATGAATCTTACTGGATTCACTCCATGAGGCAAGTCACGCTCACAGACCCCTTTGAGATAAGCCCATTTCCACTTTTGGCTTCTGAAATTTGGGGCTTACGATTTGGGAGGTCAGAAGTCTGAGACGGATATCACTGGGGTAAAATCAAGGTGTTGGCAGGGTTACATGCCTTCCAGAGGCTCTAGGGGAGAATCTGTTTCCTTGCCTCTTCCAGCTTCCAGGGCTGCCGACATTCCTTGATTTTTGACTCTTTCCAGTTGGTGCGGTTCTGCCTGCAGCCACAGGCCCAACAGGTGCTAACCCCACACTGGCCACTAGGTGGTAGCAGAGGGTTTCTTACCCATGGCCCCTGGGAGGAAGCAGAGTGCTCCAGGCTTCAATTGATGCAATTCCGCATGTGGCCACTGGGCGGCGTTAGGACCCAGAAGCCTTGTCTTAGGTTCCCAGAAGCCAGCATTCTTCTGGAAGAGCTGGGGTGAGGGGATGGGGAGCAGGATGAGATGGAGATGGAGTGACTCTTGGTAGGCAGTGCAGATTTCTACCGTTATCCAGTACAGAGATATGTCTTATGTGGGCTGGGTAGAGCACAGCTTCTGCTGGACCTGTCCTGTGGCAATGCTTTATCCTGCTCCTCTTCCCTATGGTCTGTGTCTGACAGCGCTGGGCTGGGCTGGGCTGATACTGGACTGCCAGCTGGGGCTGGTTCTTCCCATCTTGTGCCCCGATGGGAAGGCCCCAAGGCAGTCTCAGGGGACCTCTGAAGAGCACGTGTGTTCACAGTCCTTGGTACCTATAAGTGGGTACTGGTAGCAATCAGAAGGTGGTATGGGTAGGAGTTGCTGAGGGAGCTGGGTAGGAAATAGAATATAAAGAGAAAAATGTGGAAATATTTCACGTCTCTTTCAGAGGCACACCTTGGACATCACACCAGCTTTGCTCCACCACAGCCTCATCACCACCACCAGCTAACAGCAACAAACACTTATTCTATGACATCCTCAGTTCTAAGTGCTTGACATAATTATTTCCTTTCATCCTCACAACAATCCTATGAGGGAGACAGCATCATTATGCCCATTTTACAGATGAATAAACTGAGACCTGGAGAGGTTGTGACTTGGCCAGGTCACATAGTGAGTAGTGCAACTAGAACTGGAACCAAGTCCACTGGCTCTCACCATGCTGCCATGGCTCCTGGCCCCTGGATTAAAGAGGAAAGAGACCACAGTAGGACTGAAGCCACAGGAGGTTTTCTTGCCCACAAGTTTAATCATCTCCCTTGCAGCCGGGGGGAGGGAGGTGTGTGAGCCATCCCCTGCCTTCCCTCTGGTCCTTTGCCAATCGCCCTGTGCAGAGGCTGGGGATGGCCAAGCAGGAGCTGGAAGCAGCCTCTGCTTGAAGTTCCACGTGAAGAAGTTTCCAGTGCAAAGACCTGTCTTCTGTGAGGCGGCTGAGAATGGGTGGCCTGTTAGATTGAGTTGTCTTTGGTGCTGAGTCACTGAGAACAGATTCTGAGACGGTAGGAAGTAGGCCCCTGTCAGACACAGCCAGCGTATAACCTTCTGGGGTGCAGGACAAACAATAGCTTGAAGCAACCTCAGGTGTGCAACAAGCGGACAGAAAATCGGTCAGGATACCGGAGACCCGATCCACGCTAAACAAGTTGGCATTTGCAGGACACTCGCTGACATGACAGTGCGGTTCTCGGCCCAGCCAGTGGCCACATGCAGCACTAACAACAGTGTAGATGTGCAGTTGTCCACACAGAAGATGAGCCTACACTTGGACATGACCTTGCTTCTGGAAGGCCCCAGGAATTTGCACTTTGCTAAAGCTGAGAGCTTTCCTGCATGTTACTTGGCCCATTTTACTGCAATCAGAGAGCTGCTGCAGGATCTTCCAGAAACCAACCCTGGGGTCCCGTCCTGTTCTCCCCACCGCTCTGCCCTGAACCAATGCCCAGCTCTCCAGCCTCCTTATAGCTTAATAGATGGTGCCAAGGTGGGTGCACACAGGGGCTGCACACCAGGGAAGTGAGTACAGAGGCCGGTTTATGGGACAGGAAACTGCCCTCCTCAACTGCAGCTCAGAGAGGCTGGGACCTGACTTTCTGAGTCAAGTCTTTATTTGGCAACAAATGCATTCCTGTGAGGAGACCATGGGCCACCACCAGCCTCCAAAAGCACCTCCTCCAGAAAGTGAGGAACCAAGAGTCCCCTCCTCCACGGTCGCTTCGTATCACGACAGGGAGGGCACATGGAGGCTGCCACAGGGCACTGAAGACCCTCCGAGATGTCCCCTCCTCCTCAGTCTCAGAGCAACGGTGGGAACTGGACCCAGGTACTGGGAACCTCATGCCCGTGGCTCGTGGGGCTGTAGGGAGCTGAGCAGGAGGGAGGGACCTGGAGGACGAGGTCCTGGCTCCTGGCTCCCTGGGGGCTGGCAGGGGCTCTGGGCTCTGGCTGAGGCCCAGCTCGAAGTCACAGGCAGGCTTCTGTCCCCTCCGAAACCCAAACTGTCCCAGCTAGGAGGGCAGCCACTCCTGGGAAGGGACTGTCATCGCCCCTCAAAATGGGCTGTGATTTGCTCCAAAGTCTTTCCTTTGGTTTCAGGGACACAGAACACAGTGAAAAGGACACCGCCGACGCAGAAGGCAGAGGCGAGCCAGAAAGCACCATAGGGCCTGAGCACCTCCTGCAGAGAGAGGGGAAGAGCCAGTGACCGGAGAAGGCACAGCCCTCACGTGACCACCCGCCTGCGCTGCCCAGGCGCGGGCAGTGGAGGAGGCCGAGCACTGGCCATGGATGGACGTTGTGTGCTGGGGAAACAGGCTCACTGTGATGAAGTGGCTGCCCCGGGTCAGAGAGGCACGATCCAGTGACAGCTGGGTTCTCCCCCTCCCCCCCCCCCGGGGTCTGACTCCAGAGGCCACAGACCTTCCCTGTGCACTTGGCTTTGGCCCTGCCCTCTGAGGTACCAGAGGGAATGGGTGAGTGAACAGCAGGTGAGATGGGCAGTGTGAACACACAGGCACTCAGGGCCCAGGCAGGGAAGACAGCAGTTCCCTTTGGTCAGAGCTTGTCCGTCCTCCCAGCCCAGAACCACAGCCCCTCCCTCCCTAGCGGTCCCTCCCTGGGCAGCTGCCTGATGGGCCCGCTCCTTGGACAGACTCCAGGCCAGCCCTGGGCATCCCGGCCCCAGCCCAGCCTCCTGGTTTATTCTCCCACCTCTGTCCACTGCTGTCCCAGCCCTAAAGCGACCCTGCCCATCTCATTCCTTGCTGTCTCTGGCACCATGAACAGCCTGGACGTGGTATGTACCAGGAGACCTGGGGGCTGGGGTGGCAAATGACTGAGCAAATGCTTGTCCATCTGCTCCAACACCATCCCGCCATTGGCTGGGAAGCCCCTTAGGCAGGGCCGTGTCTGTCAAGTCTATCCATGAAAAGGTAGCAAAATGTTGAACTGAACTGATGCTCCCATCAACCCTAGAGGAAGGTATGGCACCTCCTCCATGTTCCGCCAAGGAAGCTGGTTCGGAGAAGGTCAGCAGCACACCAAGGCACAGAGCAGGGAAATGCCAGGCAGCGTTGGAGCCAGAACTTCCCCACAGAGCCCGACGTCCCGCCCTGTGTCCTCACTGTCCAGTGGGGAGCCCCGCCCTGCCGCCCTCCACCAAGACCGCCCGAGGGCTCCCGAGTGGTCCGGGCCTGGGTTCCCCTCACCCCGACCCAGACGGCTGGTGCCCCGGGGGGGGGGGGGGGGGAGGGGCGGGGCAGCCTGCACAGAAGGCCATTCATTGACCCTGAGTCTTCTGCGAAGAGAACAATCTACAAGCTTCTCTGCTGACGGGAGGGGAGGCTGCCGGGGCCTGGACTCACCATGAGGCTGCTGAACTCTTTTGTCACCAGAAAGGCCATGAGCCAGTTGGTGAGGACACAGACACCGGTGGCCACGCCCTTGACACGCAGAGGGAAGATCTCCGACATGAGGAGCCAGGGGATGGGCCCCCAGCCCACAGCAAAGCCTCGGGAACAAGACAGGTGTCAGCACCACAGGGACCAGCCCCCTCGGCCCCCGCAGGCCCCGGGGCTGAAGCCTGGCTGGGCGGCCCAATGGGCGGAGGGGCCTGGGTGCCAGGCTGGGCTCCCCCTCTGCGCCTTCCCGTTGTGAGGTCGTCGGCCAGGCCCTCTGCTTCTTACGCTCGGGATAACAATGGGGCCTACTCAGTGCGCTGACGGGGGACTGAGAGGAGAAGGGCTGAGCTGGGTGCTGGGCACGCGGCCAGAGCTATAAACGCAGACTTGGGACCTCTATGGACAGGTGAGACAGGGAGGCCTGGGCTTGCTGGGAGCCACTGAGTGCAGCAGTGACAGGGCGTCCCCATCAGTCCCCACCCAACCTCCCCACAGGCCCCCTCTCACCAGCAATGAAGAGGCACATGCTGCCCACCGCCAACCAGGCCAGCCCTACACTGGGGTCGGCAGGCTCCATGGAGACGGGCGCCAGGAGGTCGATGTGTGAGGAGTTGCTGGGGGTACCCTGCGTCAGCTTGAAGTAGGTGCCAAAGGCACTGGTGCTGAACACCATGACCACACCTGCGGGGGAGGGTGGCGCTGGGCAGGGCGCTGGGGGAAGCGGCCCGGAGCCTGGGCATGTGGCTCCCGAGGCAGGAGTCTCAGCCCAGTGTGGCCACAGCCAAGTGGCCTGGACACCTCGGAGGGGCAGTGAGCAGCACCCCAAAGCCCTGACTGAGCAGCACCACTCAGCACGCAGAGGGGCTCCCGAGCCTCCCACTGGCCCCGTTACCCCCATTTCAGAGGGAAACCGAGGTTCAGAGAGGTCAAGTCACTTCCCCTCCAGGGCCCTCCGTTTCCTCATTGTCAGCTGGGGCCCAGTGGCACCTTCCTTGCAGGTTCATTGCCAGGTTACAGTGTGAGGTGGTGATGCCGTGAGCACAGGCCTGGCCTGCAGCGAGCGCTCCCGTTAAATCTCAGTCTTCTCAGGGACACTTGTCCTCTTCCTCCCACAACACAGTGGCCTTGACACAGACCCTCCAACCTGCAGTGGGAGCCTGGCCGGGGTCACCACTCGCACAGGGCTGAGCCCTCGGGCCTCACCTGACAAGGCCAGGAGCAGCCGCCGCCCGGCTCTGTCCATGACCAGGGCCGCCCCGGCCGTGAACAGCACCTGGATGACGCCCACGATGACGGAGGCCAGGCTGCTGTCCTGGGGAGATGGGCAGAGGCGGGTCAGGCAGAGGCCCGGGGACAAGGCCACACCCGAGTGGCATCTGCATGAGGCAGAGGCCTCTTTACCTTGAACTTGGCCTCCTCAAAGATAGTCTCTGCGTAGAACATGACAGCGTTGATCCCCGACAGCTGCTGGAAGACCATGAGTAAGATGCCGATGGCGAAGGGCTTGTAGATGCCGGGCCGCCTCAGCTGGGCCAGCTGGAAGCCCTGCTGGACAGAAGGGGCGTCAGTGCTGCTCTGCCCTCTCCCCAGGGCGCCCTGCTCCAAGGAGGGAGCCTCAGCTTCTCCTGGGTCACTCTCCGCGTCACTACGGCCTCCCCATTTGTAAGGTGAAAGGTCCCCACTCCGTACATCCCTTCCTGATTTGTTGGGGGGGCGGGGCCCACAGAGAGAGCACATGGGCAGAGGGCCAGGGGCTCCAGAATCCCACCAGCCTCGGGCCGGCCCGAGTCCTCGCCACCACCGCTGGCTCCGCAGCAGCATGTGCTGACTCCTGTTCTACATGAAGAAACTAAGGCTTGACAACGGGACAGTCACCCGGCAGGTAAGTGGCAGAGACTCGATTTCAACCCCTGCCCTACAACCCCCCACGTAAAAACCAAGTCCTCAAGTCCGCCCTGCATGTCCCTGGGACCCGGCCAGGCCATTTTCTTCAATGAGACCAAGGCTTGGGCCCTGCCAAGGAGCGGGGCTTGAGCAGGCCTTTGCTTGCTGGCACACAGGACAACACTGGCTCCACATGTGTGCGTGTGTGGTGTGTGCGTGTGTGTGTGCGCGCGCATGCATGCATGCAGTTACATCCCGAGAACGGCTTGTGCTGGCTCCCTGGCTGCAAAGGGGTGATACCTCCCTGACCCCGTCCCCCAGCTCCACCTCCCAGCCCCTCACCTGGTGCTCAGCCCCGACAGGGGGCTCTTCCCAGCCCTGCTCAGAGCCCCACAGGAACCGCACGGCAGCCAGGGCTTCCTGGCGCTTGTGCTGAGTCAGCAGGAAGCGCGGGGTCTCGGGCATACAGCACATGAGCAACAGCATGAAGGAGGGGGGCACACAGCCCAGCACGGCCAGCCAGCGCCACTCCAGGATCCAGCCTGGATGGGGCAGATTCAGAGCCTGGGTGAGCCGCCTGGGCTTTCTCGGCAAGTGCGTGCCCCTCACCAGCCCAGGGGCTCAGCTTAACGGGTGGGCACCTACCTACCTCTGCAGCCCGTTACTGACAGTGTGGTTATTGTTGAAATGCAGAAGTGATGACGGGGACATTAGGTACATAGCCATTATACAAAGAATGAGGCCTTATACAAAGAATGAGGCCTTGCTATGTAATGATGGCTATGACATGGCCATTTGTGTAACATTTTGGGGGGGGACAACTATGCACAGTCCTCACAGAGTCCTCATGCAGACCCTCTGGAAGGCCACCAAGAGGCAGGCAAGGCTGGTTCGCCTGCAGCCGAAGCAGGACAGGGCGGGGGACCTTTCACTGAGCACCAGAGGATCAAAAGTCACAGGAAGTGGCGGTAATTCGACACCCATGTCTGTTCCAAATGTCAATGCGAGTGCACACTACTGGGCCCGCGGCAGCCAGACTGCTGCCAGGACTCTGAATTACAGTCAGGATGGTAAGTGGGTAAAAAGAAAGATCACAGAGCTGCAAATCGACCATTATAAAGACCCACAGGGCACACAGCCAGGCCCCACCACACCCACCAGGCCCGAAAGCCCCAGGCTCCCTGCCCTCCCCATGGCTCTCGGGCCGTCCCTACACAATTCTCACTGGGGGCCTGCTGCCAGGCACTTCTCGTGTGTCATTTAATTAAACCCTCAACAGCCTTGGACGAGATGGGGTTTTCTCCACCTGAAGACAGGGCAAGTGCAGCTCCCAGAGGCTGAGCAGGCCCAGGCCACGCAGCCAGTGAGTGGCAGAGGTCCTCCCCTGATCGGGCTGCCAGATCTGAGCCCCGCCCTCTTTCTACCCAGTTCTAGTGCAAACACTTCTCTGCTGGCCCCAGCTCCACCCTCAGGGTCCCCCGGAACCCGCCTCCTTCACGCTGCAAATCCAGTACTGATGTTTCTGAGGGAGACATGCTTGGGCCCGAGCGCCTGGGCTGGAGATTGTTGGGGTGCCCCGGCTGCCCCTTGAATCCTGTTTGTCACTGCACAGTGAGGCACTGACCTAAGCAGCCAGCTCTCCCCAGACCCTGGGAATGGGCTTCTGCCCAGGAGGGTGAGCACCTTCGTCAGCTCTTCCGGGGACTTATCCGGGGCCTCAGGGAGGGGGTCTGGGAACCCAGCACCTCGGGCGCTGGCTGTGAAACCTCAGGCAACTCCTGTGACTTCTCCTGAACTTCAGTTTCCATGGCTTTAAAGTGGCCAAGTGGCCATTAAAAGGGATCAAAAGAGAAGATGTGAAAACTCTCACCTGCCAGATAGGCCAGGAGGATGCCCGTGACGACCATCAGCTGCACACAGGAGCCCAGCAGCCCCCGCACTTCAGGGTAGGCAATCTCGGAGATGTAGACCTGTGAGCAGGTGAGGGGAGAGCTGCAGGCCGGGTGGGCCCCTAACTGCAAGCCCCGGGTCAGAGCCTTGCTCATACCTCCTGCTCCCACCTAGTGATTTGCAGGTGTTTAAAGGGGTGAGGGTATCTGTGTGGCTGCTGTGTGCAGGGTGATGGGGGGGGGGGGGTGGGCACAGAGCTTTGCAAACTTTCATGTAATTGTATCATTACCCTTGGTAACACGCAGACAGGTGCAGCAGGTGTGGGTGGGGCCTGAGAGTCTGCCTTCTAACTAGCTCCAGGTGACACCTGGCTGCTGGCGTGGTGCCCTTGGGGTTAAAGCAGGAACTCTTCACCTCAATGGTTATCAGCGACTATGCTCAGGGGCCAAAGAGGCCTCGCCCTTACTTCTGGGTTACTCCATCCCTATGCCCATGGCTTAGGTGTGTTTTTGCCCAGTAAAAACCCCAAACATAAAATCCAACCCAGCTGCCCAGCCAATGCAGGTGAAATGAGTGGCAGGTGCAACGGGATGAGCAGGGAGAAACCCACGCCACTGCTTTCAATCTCGACCCGGCTGGGGTGTGGGTGGTGGGTCACCCAAGCCCATGGCCAGCAGATCCAAGTCCTTCATAAGCCACGACAGGGCTGATGGGCGTCTCTGATTCCTCGCCCACTGCATGGGGTGACCGGTCATTCTCACTCACAGGGGAGGGAGCTGGGGTCCCGGAGGCGGCAGAGCCGGGAAGCCAGCCTGGCTGTGCTGGGTCAGGAGCTGACAGAAGCAGGGAAGCCGCGGGAGCCCTGGTGTGTGAGCAGCGAAGGGGAGTGGCCGCGGCAGCAGCCTTTGCCCCAGGACAAACCGGCAGGATTTTCCTGCTAAACTGTCCTCAGTGGTCTGATTGACAGTGGAGGGGGGCGGGGTGTTCAAGCCATATTGTGAGGCTTCTGATGACCATCCACAGAGCAAAAGGGAGGCCAAGTTAAGCGGCACAATCCTGGGTAATCGCTTGGCCACTGACCAGTTGAGTCTGGACAAAGGACTTCACTGTGGGAAACTTACTTCCTCTGCAAACGGGGCCCACTGAGGGCAAAGGAGA